CCTGTCAGGATTACGCCTCATATCTCATGAGTCAATATATTGAGCTCTACTTTGAATAATCAATCAATCGAAGTGTAGAGTTCAATATATTGATTCATGAGAGATGAGACGTAATACTCACAGGAGTGGAGAAAGATTATATTGAAGAAAAATTCAATATTCAATAGTAGTATTCAATATATTGAACACTACGATTGATTTTTCTTCTTCTGGTTTTAACAAAATGTCGAGTGTCGATTTAACAAAATGCATTAGGTATCAAAGTGTTTTCCACAATGTGTGGCATGTTTTGGTATCATACAAAGTTTTGAATTTTTATATACATATATAATGATAGATAATACATTTCACTTCAAATTATTATTATTATTATTATATATAGAAATGGCCTTGACATCAAATTGTTGCAACAATGACCGCAGACATAAATCAAATAAGAAGCATTGAAGAATTAAAGAGGATTATAAATATAGGGTCATGAAGACTGTTCAATATGAATAAGATGATAATACGTTGAGTTCGTAACCATGAAAAATGAAGGCCGCAAGTCAAGGAGAAAATCCAACCTGCAAATGCAAATAACCATCTCCTCTGGGCAAGACGAAGGAACATCAAGGCTTCAACCACTGCAATTCTATTTGATCAGATGTTCAATGAGACACAATCAGATAACATGATTGAGGTACCAAGAACTTTCTTAACTGTTGAGAAATGGACAGTGGTACAGGCAGGAGGGGAAGATGTAGAAAAACTTGTGAATATCTACAATGTGCTGCAGAACTCTTATCGAGTAGAAGGTGAGAAGAGAATGGTTTTGCAGGACGAATGGAAACGCAGCCCTGTATGATGGCCCCATTTAACATATATCTTGACCTACATAGGTTGAGGATAATACTTTCTTAATAGGGATACCCATTTCCCACACTGAAAAGTTATTAATCTCATATTAGATTTCCAGTTGTTCACATGTTGAGTCTTTGAATTTATTTTGACAAAGAATCTGGTCCCTTGGATTGGAACAAGTAATAGACGTATTAAGTGAAAAAGGAATATATTATGTATTATCTTTGATAAGAAATCCAATCATCTTGAAGTAGTATGCAATATAAATAGTTCGTAGTCTTTGTATACCTTAAACCTTGAAAAAAATTGAGACTTGAAATTCACATGGACATTGTATATTTTGAAGAAGTTATTCAGAATTGAATGAAGGTGCAAAATGGATTTCACTCATTCTAGTCAGCAGACAAAAACCTTGCAACCGGAAGGACAGATACTTCCCAAGTTGTTGGCTCAATCATGGGACTTCGTTCCCCGATGCTTTGTGCCAGCGGCCGTTCTGCACATTTGGTATCTCATAACCGAATGCCTACAACTCCGCCACTGGAAGAAATAAAGAACGTAAGGAGTGTCCAAACTTGATAAGCATGTGTGTGATTCCATGGAGGAGAAATGCTACATATGGTTCTTATTGAACAAGAGGATAAGATCGGCTGGCATTCCACCATCTCGTCGTTGTATGCCGCCTCCATAAGGACTTTATCTCTTTTGACGCTGTCTTCGAATCCCAATGCCGGCTTATGCATTTAATATACATGTAATAATTATAAATGCCGAAGTAATATCCAAAGCCACGAGAGAATACGACAACCAGGACCTGCCTCTATAGATTCGGGGTGCAGATGAATTTGGAAGAAGCAGGAGAATTGAGGCACACGAGCGAAACATAGCAAGGACCCTACTGTTGGCAAAGACCCCATGACACTGAGTACGATGGTCAAGGAAGCTCCAGATACACGACTTTGAGGACAAGGACGTCATGTACGAGTCTTGTGGTGTGGTAGGACAAGGATTTCTCAAGTAGACCAATGCATGAAGGTGGAGGTCATAATCCAGCACCTGCCTCGATAGATTCGGGGTGCAGGTAAACGTGGAATAAGCAGGAGATTTGAGGCACACGAACGAAAGATAGCAAGGACCCTATCGTTGGCAAAGACCCAATGACACTGAGTACGATCGTCAAGGAAGCTCCAAATACACGACTTTGAAAACAGCGACGTCATGCACGAGTCATTGAGTACAAGGATTACTGAGCGAGACCAATGCGAGTGATTTCGATCCACTAGATGAGACAAGGCGCGTTCTGAATTCTGCATGGAAAGGATTTTTCTAAGCGAGCGAGGAGATTGGTCGACGGTTTGGACACCCTCTCAGCGACTCAATGTCTCAGATCAAGATTGCTACTTCGTCATTCCTGCCATCATGGCCTATTTCGCAGAGTTCCTTACCTTTGATCCGAGCGGATTCCTTGCGACATATTGACGTCAACAGGCACTATTGACGAAGAGTAAACCTCGCACGACATCCCCGTCAGCTTTCATTCGCTGGCCTTGCAAGGGACGAGAAATTGTGACGGTTTGACGGTTTGATTCCGTCTCGAGGGTCCTCTTTCTACACTCCATCCGGAGTAGTCTGTGCCACAGAACTTAGAAAGTCGAATTCCAGGGGCCTGATTAGTAATAAGTGGGCCCGAGTGTCAAAATCCCTCTGGACATTAAGACCAGATGCACAATAACAAGAGTCGGTGGCCGTGCGAAATGTGAATTTATGCTTATGGATCTCGATTTTGATTGATTTCAGCTTTTACTTCCCGAAGTTATGAAACATGAGCCCTCTGCCACTACTGGGTACAGTATATTCCCGACTCACGCTTCACACGGATTACCGAAAGGAGTATATTTGCAATCAAAATAGTTGAATTCGTAAAACCATACTGATGTGGGAAATAAATTAATGACAGGGATGAGTTAGATCTAGATGAGTTCATGACTAGATCTGTTTGGACTTTATTGGAATGATACGTGAGACATGTAAGAGGATGACCTCTACATGAAGATTGGCGGCCACAAAGATGTGATTACGCTGTTTACTTGTCCATCTACCGAGAGCGATCTCCTCGATGGGTGAAAGAAAATGACGAACATCGAGGGGAATAAAGGACAATTCGATGCAGGTAAGAAGATGGCAGTCAGCAAAGCACGAGGTTGCATGAATCTGGAGAATTTCAGAGAGTCAACTCGAGTTTCCTCTGTCCACAGCATAGAGCACTAAGGTTCTGATGTAAATGGTGGAGATCGATGGAGACTTTCATGGCCTCTTTGCGCGCAGATTCTGAACCGAATTTGTCTGTCGACGTGTGTACATTGCTGCGAATCGGAGCCAAGACGATGAACTGACCGCATCTGTTATCCCAAAGCTCGATAAAACACGCAATGCGTGTATTTTAATCTGATCCGGAGGACTTTCTTGCCATGTTCTAGAAGAAACTTTCTACGATACCATGGAACACATAAGGAGCAAGTATTATATTTTGGCTCTCATGAGCAGGAAGTTGTTGGAGGAGATACGTATTATGGTCAACAACCTGCAGAAGAATCTGATTTATGAGGATCTACAACATGTATACTATAGATTCAAGAGAATAATGAAGAACTTATCATAGCGCCGCAAAACATATTTGTACTGTAAGGTCTGTAATGAATCATTGCAGATGGTTTATCCAATGAATTTCATTTTTAAGTACCAAGACTAGTTTGTTGAACAACGGATCCCTCCAGTGAGAAGAGATGTTGATAAAAGCCAAAAAATGTACAATCCATTTTTGTAACATAATGAGGTTAAAGTTCCAACAAGCATCACCAAGTCCTATAAACGTAAATACAAGTGAATGTAATATTGCTACGAGCGTCATCAATGTCCACCTAGTGAATAAATTAAAGATGTTGGAATAAACATCTAAAATATTTCTAATGCTGAACAATATTGCCTTTAACTTCATTTTTAAACTGATTTCAAAAGTTTTTAAAAGTGTCAGCTATGCTACATAATGCTAACAAATTAGATATCAAACTTACCGTTAGCAACTAGTCTTATGTCATATGTGTTTAGCTTCAATTAGGAGCATGTGAATGGCAACTAAGAATCTCATTAACCCAAGCTAGAAATTTTGCCCTCAAAATTCACCCATCTCGAACGTGCTATAATAATTGACTGGATACGTGTATAGAGATTGAGCAAAAACTAACACCAAACATGTCTTTATTGATGAAATCTGCACGTTGCTACCCTTACCTTCATTCCGAGATTCAACCCACAAACCAACTTCACCATGCGAAGAAAGATTCACAACTTCTTCTAAACTTTTAACTATTCACGTTGCTATGCAAAACTCAGAATCTTATTGGCCTCGTTCCAGGCTGCATTGCTGTTGTAGGAACGGGCAGTCTGGATATCAGTTCTTACCTGCTCTCCTGGTGGATGAGAGTTACAGATATGTGCATGACATATGAACATAGGTCGACGTAGGGGGGTCGTAAAGTCAACATGAGTGCTTAGATGGCTTGTTAAAGTGCAGCTCCAAAGCTATCGAAACTGTTGGTCAATTCGACTTGGCTAGTCGCACGATACGTGGACTTTAGCCTCCACTAGCGCATATATGAGCAGAAAGCTGTCAGAGAAGGCCGATCTACCGAACACAGTTTCTCATTCCCTGGCTGCTCTTCAAAATTTTGCGAAATCGCTTCTTCCTCTGCCATCTCCTTCAGAAGCAGAAGCAGTAGGCACATTAATGCGTCTTCTTCCTCCTGACTGCCTCAGGGATGGCAATTTCTTCGTCCTAACGAGATGTTTTTATACTCTCTGGCTACTAAATCTTTGCCCGGCGAGAAAAAGACAGACAGGCTGAATGAAGATTGGAGAGCCTCCCCTCGCGCTGTCTCAGGGCTCAGGCCAGATGACGAGTGTACTTACATGGACGGAGAAACGCATTAAATCATGCCACAATTTCTCTCGAAATTTCTCTCGAAAGAGCTCCGAACGCTCGTTCGAGGTTTGAAGGGGAGGCACGTATTTCACAGGTCTAACCGGCTGGAGGGAAAGCGTAGATTGCAGTCTGAATCGAAGACTTTAGCGGCAAGAATTATCGTCGAGTGGAGGTGATTATGACACTAAAGGTGATTACAAAGCTGAAGTCTGGCTCCTCTGCATGGTATAATTTGGCGCTAGAAGCTGTGTGCTTGAAGAATGAGAAGCGGAGTGGAGCGGTTGGACGATTGCAACACGTTCAGCTCCCAAAGCTTGCTCTCGATGAGGATCAGAAGCAAGCACCGAGCTTCCCGAGCCTGCACGCTGCGGCCTGGATCGGAGATGTGTCAACCATGGAGGCCCTGAGGGAGGACCCTGATCTGAATGTCGCAGAGACGACGCAAGGAGGCTTCACGGCATTACACTTCGCCGCATCGAGGGGTCACACCGAAGCGGTTCGGGCTCTGCTAGAATGGTCGACGGCGGAAGTGAATGCCGTGACTGTCGAGGGCTTTACAGCACTGCACATGGCTGCGTACGGCGGGCACTTGAGCTGCGTTAGACTCCTGCTGCAGCAAGACTCGACGAATGCGCACATCAACGCCCGGGACAAGGTGCTGGGAAGGACGGCTTTGCATTGGGCTGTAGGTCACAATTCCGACGACGGGCTGGCCATGGTGAACCTGATGCTGCAGAGTTCTGAGATAAACCCATGCCCCAGGGACAGGGCCGGATTCACGCCGCTGCACTTTGCAGTCATAAACTCCGGGGAAGGGGCAATCCCGCACGCGGCCATGGAAGCTATTGTTCTGTGTCTGTTCCACCGTCCGCAGCAGCTGCGCAAAATTCCTGCGAATGTGATTAGGCAGATGATGTGGGGAATCCCCGAGAAGATGGTGGAGGTGCTCCTGACAAAATACCCCGATCAGATCGATTTCAAGGTAGGCAACACATTTCCGTCGAGGGAAGATGTGGAGGACTTCAACTCCATGCCCTGGAGACCACTCTGGACGGTCGATCTCAAAGAGGTTCACGCAGCAGCACCGAGCAGGAGATTTGTGACGGGATTCCCAAAGTTCCGAGCCCTGGGTAAATGCGTGAGCGGCTTCACTGCCCTGCACTTCGCCTCCGGGCAGAACCACGCGGAGCTAGTGTCGTACCTGCTCGAAAACTTTCCGGACATGGAGGTGAACGAACCCGATCTGAGATACGGAATGACTCCCTTGCATCGCACGATGTTGAAAGGAGCGATGAGGTCCTTCAAGAGGCTGATGTCGTGCGAGAAGGTGGATGTCAACGCATTGGTGAAGTTCTCAGGCCAGGTCGACCCACAACCATGGCTGCCTCAGAGTCCGGTCCTGGAAAGAATCGACGAGAACGGGTCCGACGCATACAAAGAGTTTCGACCGGGCGAGTTCTGCCGATTCGAAACTCCGCTCCATCTCGGAATCCGCTTCTGTGCACCCGAGCAATTCCTGAAGATGATCACGACTTTCCTCAAGCACCCGGCACTCGATGTGACCATCCGCAACACGAGTGGCACGCCTGCCATTCAGCTGGCATGGCTGAGGTCAGACTGCACGCTGGTCTCTTTGCCCTCGCACCCCGTCATGTTGCCGATCTATTTCCTCCTCTGGCCCCACCCGCCCTTGGCGCCCATGTCCATCAGCGAAAATTCCTCCGAGACCTGCATCACCCTGCGCGCAACCAAACGCTACAAAGCCATCGATAGCGCAAAACAACAAATCAAGGACCTGGACATCGCCCTGGACATGCTCGAGGAGCATCCGGGGAACGAGAGGCTCATGAAGAAAGTGAATGACGCATTGTCGGCCACGCAGCAGTCGGTGAACGCCGTGCTCGTGACGGCGTCAGTGATCGCCGGGTTCCAGTTCCTGGCACCCGCCACAAGTCTGCTCCAAGTCGACAAGAGCGCCCTGGTATGGCCGAGGCTGTTCTGGACCTGCTATAATCTCTCATTCTTCTTTGCGATTTTCACTGCGTTTCGCTGCCTGGGCACGACTGCCATCGCCAGGCCCATGGCTCATCGCCAGGTCGGCAACCTCGAGAGTCTGCTGGCCTACGAACAGACTCGGTACACGGGGCCTCTGCATTTGTGTGTCATGTTCGGAGTCGTGGCCTTTGTCTCCTCGGCCGCCAACAACATTCCACGGCAGGTGCGCGATGTGGCGTGGTCTTGCTGCCCTGTCGGGTTCTTTCTGGTCCTCGTGGAATTCGCTCGAAACCTCACAGGCTCGTACGAGGCATATCTGCACGGGAGGGTGCAACATCGCATTCAGAGGGGTGTCATTCTCCACATTCCTTGTTATGTGGCTCGAGAAATCATCGGCCTTCTTCTGGCACCCTTGACGGGCCTTCTCACGGGCATCTCCTATTATCGTCATGTGAGTACTGTAGGCTGGACTCGCAAATATTTTCAAATTGTTGGCAAAAGTCTGGACCAAGCATTTCTAGGAGTGATAGCATATCTGATGATATGGTTGCTCGTTAATACCGTGGTGAGGATTTTCCTCCCTCTAGACTGATCTCAGTTTCATGCTGCTGCAACTAGCCAGAGATCACATGTCACTATATGGCCGACTGTAGATTTTGCAGCCTTGTCATCGGTGCCTGTTGGAATCCATCGTCAGCATTGCAGCTTCGTCACTCTATCTTCTTCTGCAGGCATCCACGAACATCCACACCGCTAAATCCCGCGTTTAGCTCGATGATCAGACACAACTAGCTTAGGTAATACTCATGAAACAGCAACATGCATTCACTGGAAAGTAGTAAGAAATAACAGGATTGTACATAATTTCTGGCCATCGATGTCTCCTTGACTGACTTTCGGGTGTGCTCCGAGTGAGGGAAAGGTTGCGAGTCCAAGGATCACTTTCTTGCTATGTACATTAGTTTCTCCAGAACCTATTTCGAATCTCGAGCACTTCCAAGATATAGCCCCGAACGACAACCAACTTAAAGATTACTTGGTGTCAGAGATGTCGATGGAGTGCACTCCTCATGTACAAATACGGACCTATGACATCCATATCACACTGTACAGTGATATACAACACTCTAGACTCGCCTTGTGTATTGGTAAGCTCGTAAAGATAACAACATGTACACTGTATCTGTACTATGTCTCAGTCCACTTGCAAAATCAGGAAGCAGTAATATTCAACTTGCAACTGGAATAGTTATCAATTACGATTTTATTTTTTTAAATCATCAGATTTATAATATAAAAATTGATCGTTTTCAATTTTGAAAATTATAATTCTTTAATTACAGCAACATAGTATTAGTTTATCCAAAATTAAAATATTGAAACAATAAGTGAGATTTGGAAAAATCACTATTAACCATTGAAAGTCACTCTACGTAATACTTGTGGTATTTAATGTAAGAAAAAACTTTGATTTAAAAAACAGATAAAACATATGTAATAAAATTTAGCACTACAATATATGAATAACTAAGTCGGCATTAAGGTCACTGAACTATGCCTCGCACTCTCACAATCAATTTCGCTTATTAATTCCCAAATATCTCGTAGAAGTAGACATTTGTGCAGACATTCGGTACTGCCGCATACAGAATCGGCATTAAGCAGCTCCTAAACAACGGCCATTTGAGTCGGAGAACCGATATGCCAGCCACGAACTGCTCATCACTTGGTACTCTGCGACCGGTGCTTTCATAAGACCACTAGATTTTTCTCTAAAATAATGCCATCAGAAACCCAGATTTTTTTGCCTTCTATAATTTCATTTCTCATTGGTCTCCAGTGGATCATTCATTGACGAGTCAGGCCATGGCATGGAAAGACATTGACTTGACTTTAACCTTCAATGTCAAACAGCCACAGAATAGGCGGCCATGAAAATTAGGTTTCACTTTTGTAGTTAATTATCCAAATTGTTTCAGATTAAAAAATTTTATAATCTTAATATTGTTACCTGTAACCCTTTCCGCCATGAAATGATTAATTAATGCCACATGAGTTTTATGTTTTACTTAATTTAAATTATCTGATAATCGAGATAATATTTATATCTTTTAATATCTTTTTACTTTTATACCATACTATAGGTAAATAATGTGATACATGTATCACATTTTACGCCACCCCCGTGGTTACATTGGACCATTTATAAGAAACCTATCAAACGAACAATCTGAGCTCCTTCATACTTATAATAAAAACGCTGTCGCGGTAGGTAGTACAAGGGATCATCATAATTTCTTATGGTTTTTAAATGAACCAAACAAACGAACAACGACTGGAGCTCCATTGCTCAACTATGTACGAAGCCTGCCGTCTTGGGCATTTACAATTTAACAATAACATCTAAATAAACCGATATGCATGGTGCTATCTCCTGAAAAGAGCTTTACATAGTTTTATCGAGTCATCCCAGCTAAAACTGTTAGAAATCTAATGCAATCTAATACATGCATTAGATTGCATTTATATCATTTGAAATCCAGTAAAAATATTAATTAAATATATATATTATACTCCATGGACTCGCTCAATGGTATCGAATGAAATCATCACAATGCATAGACGTGGTAAAGATTTCTCTTCAGCTCGTGAATGGATGTGAGTGTGGAGCTAAATCGTGATAGTTATAACCTTCTCTTGGCGCTAACCTTGTATATGTCAACTTCTCCCAGAGAATTTATGTAGCAGTCCCGCAGCATGATATAAAGCTATAGTTTGGAACCCCACTATTTTCTTTATTCAAAAAAAAATAAAAAAAAATTCACTGATCACATAAGTTTCATTATTGTATACTATGGGGACCCTCGGGTGCATTCGCCAAATGGTTTTTTGTGAGTTTAGAATGGGAGGCTAGTGTGAAGTGCTTAAGTAATCATCCGTGCACCCATTGAAGCCTTTGCTGTTCTATTATTGGCTAAATATGTATTACTAATCACAAAGTATGGCGATTACTGTTTATTCAGTGTACTGTAATTAGAAAAAAAAAATCAACTCCAACCACATCAGTACAAGAATATATATTCAACTTTTTAGCAACTTGTAACACATAAGATAAAGGTTATGCTACGACTAGATAATGTTTTCATTCCATCTTCTGTCAAGTTTACATTTCTGCGAGACTCGCATCCCTCTATGACATCGTCTATTCTTAATGCAAATGATATTATGTGATTTCTGCTAAATATTTTGATCTTTGCTTTCTATAAAAGTGATGAATATGTTAATTGAAGAACGTGATTATTCAACGTACAAGAAAATATTCCTAGATTATCATAAAAATTGATTGATTTCGACTAAAAATTTGGTTGTGTTTTCGGGTTTTCATTTTAAGCAATGATTTTAAAATTGTAAATTGAATAGTTTAACTCAATTGTATAAACACACAAATTATCTGTAAATTCCTGGACCCAGACTCCCCCTTCATAATAATAGAAAAATCATGATCAAACGACTTCTATAATGTCAACTGATGCCAGTCCAGCATAGCTGAAACTTAAAAGACTAGAGCATAAGCCGGGCCTGGACCCACAATTGCAATTGTTCAATGAGAATTGGATTGAGTCGAATCATCATGAATGAATGGAAGACGCGGTCAATATCTTGAGGTCGTTGAGCATGTGCTCGTGGATACAAATCTCCACGAGCACACCCTTTTACTGTCAATTCTGGGCAAAATTCCAGATTTTAGCTGCGTAGCAGCTGATCTACTTTGGGTCATACTGAAGGAGAATTGGGCTCCAGACTGGTCTGGGCTATGCGGACTTCAGTGGAAAACGAGAATTTCAATCGCACACCCAATGTGACAAATCTGTTCGTCACATTGATCTTATGAGACTCGGACTGCTTTGAGCCACATGTGACGGCCTTACAACCACACGGCCAGTGGTGCGATGAGTGTACCTAATGCAGCGATTCCAGCAATTATCAATGAGTGTACCTAATGCAGCGATTCCAGCAATTATCAGCACGTCAACGAGTCCATCTACTCTTTGCATATTTTCGAGATCGTAAAATTCTGCATAGATTTCGAATGAACTAGATCAGTTACCTCTCAAGCATGATGAATGTATAAATGCTTGTAGACCGTGAACGGGTAAGTTTTCTTCCAGGTAAATGAAGGACAACGTCAAGTAGCCTCTTTGTACAACTTTTCCCTGAACGTGTCAAGCAGATTTTTACATCTACTTCTGGGCGGGTTTCTATTCGGCGAACGTGACGAGCTGTGATGATTATTTGCTGTAGGTAAGTAGCGGTAGAATGATCAATTTGAGGTACGTGCATCTTTAGAACAAGTCGGGGTTTTTTGCCAGAAGTAAGGGAACACTCGAGCTCTCGGCACAGAGGCCTGGTGTTCACGCCCATGATTTATGAGATGTTTGTATGTACGAGTGACGAGAAGGTGCTTTATTCCATGGCACGAAGTAACATTCTCCTTCGACGAAGTCTTAAACTTTACGCCGAGGCACAGTCGGAGGTTGGGTAGTAGTGAATGAATGGATGAATGACGCTGATATCTCGTGGAAAATAATTTGTACTATGTTCTTGCTCACTGTTAGAAACAGGAAAGGGCCTCCCTCAATTGGATGGTTTGATACACAAGTCCTGCTATAGAAAAGGTGGTTCTTGTAGGTACAAGGTAGTACATTTGTCCGCAAGAGTTGGCAGGCATGCGTATGTCAGTGATCAATGCAGATTCAACTGGCCTTTGTTGTTAAATGTACACTGGGCCAAACGACTAGTCAGAGTCACCATGTCCTCCTCAACTCTGCCATGTGATACGAGCACCTTCATAGCTTAGGAAGGCACACGATTATCGTATGATCCAGCATTAGACGTCATCGACTTGGTCACGGAAGAGTGTCTCGTCAAGATCACTCGCCACTCTCTTGACATTTCCCAACATCCCTTCCAGAATGATGAACCACATACAGTCAAACCAAATCCCGCACACAACACAATCAAGCAAGACTTAATGTTCGTTGCTGAGCAGAACAGGGGAAATACGGAGTTTCTGAACTCCTGAGGAAACGTGACGTCGCCCGGACGGCCCCAAACTTTACCTAGGAACAAGATGTGACTGGGCAATTATGACAGGAAGCTTGTAAGAGAGCTACCAACCATCTTCAATCCAGCCAAATTACTCTAGGCCTCACGCGGCAGATAGTCCGCCATGGAACGGCAGCCACTGCTAGACTCAGATGATGCCATTTTAATCTCTACACATTCACGAGATACTGCTCTACTGCCAGGGAAAAGACCTCAACACAAAAACCAAAATCTGCCCAGAAACCACCGACGCACGCCAAATTATCAACATCCGCGAATTCTCATCAGCCGGACTCAATCTCGACCAATCCCTCGTGTTACACCCCGAATCGATTCAACTCAGACTGCGCCGTAAAGACTTTTCTTGTATGATGTAGCTTCAGCTAAGCACATACCACTCTGCTCGACCTGCCTTTCTCGTCGATGTCCACAGAATATATGGGCCTCCGGATTAGGGTTTCGTGTAGGAAAGTTTGAGCAAACACTTAGACCCTTCGTGGCAAGTAGTGGATACAATAAAACATAAATTGGTGTTGGAAGATGAGTGATGTATGGGGATGTAGCTCACCTGGTAGAGCGCTCGCTTCGCATGCGAGAGGTACGGAGTTCGAGTCCCCGCATCTCCACCTTTTAGTCTGCGTGTACGTCGGCGAAGCGTTGAGGAACCTCTTTCAGCCCTTCGACTCGTAAATGCAGATTTTGCTGACATGGAGAGAGTACTATAGAATACGCCTCGACGACGCCAAGTTCATCCAAATGGTTGCTGACGGAGCGTTTGAAGGAACTGCGGTGAGCACAGTGGACTGCTGTTCTGTGGATACCACGGTTCTTCCACCGCGAAGGGTTACTGTGGTAGGCTGCGGACGTGCCGAAGAAAAGAGACACGGGGAGATGATCATTCTCCCCAGCAAGGGAGCGATTCTTCGAGAGCAGAAATTGCGATTTGTGGCGTGTTTGTTTCTCGACGATTTGTCGCTCGAATTCATCAAATGCGCGAGTCCGAGAGGCCAATTTGTCACCCCTGAATGTGGGTAGTCGTGCGGATTGGATAGGGCGTCCCTGACGTGCGAATGCGGCCACGTTTCAGAGAATCGATCAACCATTTGCAATCCAGGTTACGACAAGAGCACGAGCAAGATTCACCGGAGATGATGGTGGATGCCATTTTCTAAGCCATTCGAGTACATATATTGATTGGGTGACTGGGTCCGTGTGGCGACAGAGCGAAAGGTATCTTTACTACATTTTATCATCAGCTGACCGTTGGCTGGGGAGTGGATGCGACCTTGATGTTCTTGACGACCAAATGTCTCTTCGAGCTTTTGTTGCGTGCAAGAATTCGTACGTAAATTACAGCGACTCTTGCTCAAAGTCTGCGACAAAGATTTTACCCTAGAATCTTCCTTACACATCGATTCTCCGATGACGGTCGGAATACTCCTCACCCTGTCAATCTCGAAAGAAGTTGCGGGAGAGTCCACCACAGTCCCCTTCGGATCCACATGCTCTTGAATTTCACAACTTGAGAACAAATTGCATCAAGTGTTGCGAACCGACCAGCTTGAGAATGATGCCGAGTTCTTATGATTCAGCTGGAAATTTGAATTCGAAGATCAATCTACGCTGGATCTCGTTGGGAGAGCAGTGATGATTACAATTCTTGGTTCGCTGTCTCCAGACTTCCTTGAGGGTGGTCTAGAGCATTAAGCCGACGTAGCCACGAGAGAAGTTTCGCTCGTTCATGAAACTGAAGAGCTCACAAACACTTCTACACACTCACTGCAGAGTTTGCTTGGGCGAGTGACAGGGAGATCATGACCTCTGAGATCAGTCAGCTATGGCCACATTTATTACAGAATGAAAGAAAAGTGAGGCACGATGTTGAAGCCAGTTTATTATCGTATTTTTGAAATTTTTTATTTTCTAACAATGTGAAATTGGAACCCACTGTCAGTTTCTTGGTCCTGTTTAGGTGCTGTTACTATTCTCTTCATGGTGGACATCATCGACATGAGCAGAAGGTCTAGAATAGAAGATCAATCTCGACAGTAAGGATTAGGAGGCTTTGGTGGTGAAGCTTCTGTATATCAACTCGTCGCATAGAGAGTGACGAGATGCAAAAAAAAGGAGGAGACTGGAAGTTTTGTTTGCGTGGTGTGCGGATTTCCATGAAGATGTGATAATGGTGGAATGTGAGATTGGAGTCAATTTTACGAGTTTGGAGTGCAGCAATGGCAGCGTCTTTTGAGTCTTTTTCGTTGTACTGGAAACCAGACGTGATGACAACGAGGCTGTTGTGCACGTTGCTGCGGTCGGTGTTGATATGGACGCTGCTTGCAATTGGAAATGCAGGGGACAGACTCGTCGATGTTGGTGGTACCATAGCTTTCGCATCGGTCGGAAGACCTTATTACGCATTTGATGTGTTCGCAGTCTCATTGCCCCAGTCTTGGTCATCTTCAGATTCGTTGCCTCTCTCCCCAAACCTTTTGAAAGAAACCAGGCTCACTGACGGCGTTTCAATAAATTATAATGGCCATTTTGTGGAAGGATCTGAGAGGCGAGCATTGGAAGATTTCCTCTCGCCACAAGCTCGCCATGACGAGGATTCTAACAAAGGTGGGGTGAAGAACTTTGTCCTTGTATCGATCTATGTCATCTCTTATTTATGTGGATGCACAGACCTCTATATTCTCATAGTCATCACTCTGAAACGTAAAGTGCCCAGCATCTACAGCAGTAGGATTCTAAGGAGTTGGAATGTGGATGGTCGATTTGAAACTTTTTTTTTCTAGCTTCTGAAGTGGCGTATACAAAGCAAAGGAGAGATATGTATTGTGTTTTTGCCGTTCTTTGGTCAGTACAATCGCCGAGCAGTATCGAGTTGTTTATAAGCCACGAGAGCTCTGCTGACCTTCAAAGTGTATATTTTGGATCAATCTCATATTGTATGTTTGTAACCTATCCAAAGGTTGTTGATTGTGAACAAGTCATGTAAGCTGACTTGTTGACAATTCACAGCTGGAGGCACTGTTGCTGAACTTGGAAGTTTACTTCTGAGCTACAGAACAAAACTCAATGGCTGTTGAGCTTGTCAAGTGGGGGTTCGATTCTCAGGAAGATCGAAGCCAGGATATTTTCACTGGTTAGCTTGGATGCCCAAACACATTGCGTTGATGCCATGTGCCGTATGCCGACTTTAGGATCATTTCCAGTTGCTTCTTACACGTACACTGATTATCTTTGAAAGCAGGTTCCTGGGCACCTCTACCCAGCCGACCGATGAATACTTTGGGCCAAAGTAGCTACTTAATCTCTGATGCTTTTTGTTGTACTTTTTAGCCTTTCTCTGTTCTTGGGCAGTGAGCTAAATATTTTGTTGCAATAAATAGCCTATTCCATATTAGAGGATGTTGGATGCCACTATCTGTTATGTCAACTGGTGTCTCCTTGTCATTACTTTTGCAGATGGAAGTGGCATCGAAGCTCTGTTATTTGTGTCAGATAGAGCAGGAAATCCTAGAATTTACATCAACGACACCGGCAGACCTCTCATAAGGACCTCTGAAATGGTCGAAAATGGGGCCAGGAGGTCTTTGGCAAAAATAGGACAGGGGACAGACAAACATGTGGGTCCTGTTCAAATGTCGTTCCATGATTCAGAACATTCTTTCATGAATGATAAACCATCTATATGTGGCAACAGACTCGTGTTTGTGTCAACAGCAGAACCGAGTGGCACCTATGGAACTGGATGGGCGGCAGTTTTCTCCACCAGCCTGAAGACCGGGAAGACTGTAAGGCTGACTCCAGCTGGACATGCAGACTATAGTCCAGCAATTTCACCTTCAGGGAAATGGATTGCCGCAGCCTCGTTCAGTGGAAAGCATATCCAGGTGAACGTTCTCAAAAGCGATCTCTATGTGTATAGATCCAGTGATGGTAGCAAAAGACGCCTTGTGGTTGAGTCAGGGGGTTGGCCAACATGGTTGGATGAACAAACCATTTTCTTCCACCGCGTAGCTGATGATGGATGGTGGAGCATCTTCCGAGTAGATCTGCCAGTCAACTTTTTAGAAACCGGAGAAGGTGAAGTCCAAGAGCCTGAAAGGATAACGCCTCCTGGCGTTCACGTCATAACTCCAGCAGCATATCGAACTGGCAACTGGCTGGCGGTTGCCACGAGGAGGCCAGAGTTCTTGAAGCATGTTCGGCATGTAGAAATCTTCGACTTGAAGTCAGGAAAGTTCATCGAACTGACTGCGCTTTTGTATCCGAATGTCAGTCACTACAGCCCTTTTCTCTCCTCATCTGGCAAAGTCGGCTACCACCGCTGCAGAGGAACTGTCCAGGGTAAGCAATCGATTCCTCTTATCGAGGTTCTGCCGTCACCACTGCCTAACCTTGCCCTGATCAGAGTGGATGGTACATTTCCTTCAATTTCTCCTGACGGGACTCACTTAGCATTTAGTCGGGACACAGGAGATAGTGGTCTCGTTATCCCCACAAAGGAGAAGGGAATTTATGTGATCAGTCTCGATGGGGAAGTCTCTCAGCGGCTTGTGTATACGGGCAGGGCATTTGGCACAGTCTGGGATCCACTACGAAGAGGAGTTCTGTTCGTGACTGCGGGCAAGTGCTTTGAGGTTGTGTCTGAAGAAATCCACATCATCTCTGTAGCCAATGTCTGTAACAGAAGCCAAGAACTTTCAGTAAAGCAGCTGACGAAATACGGCACAGGGAACAATGCCATGCCATATCCATCGCCAGATGGAAAGCTGTTGGTGTTTAAATCAGGTCGATCTGGATGGAAGAACCTCTACATAATGGATGCGTTCGAGGGAGAGGAGAAGATGCTCAGACGCCTGACAAATGGTAACTGGTCGGACAACCATCCCCATTGGTCCCCCAGTGGTGAATGGATCATCTTCATGTCGAATCGAGAGGATCCACATGGTACTGCCTACAACATTTTCCAGATACGTCCCGACGGGACAGGGCTGCACAAAGTCTTGGACTCTGGTTTGGGGCAAGACGCCCATCCTTGTTTCATGGGGAACGACAAGTTCATCGCTATGAGCTCGGATGTTGCGGGTTTCAGTGCAGAGCCTATATCCATGCCCCTCCAGTTTAATCCTCAAGGAGAGATCTTTGTAGCTGAAGTTAACGACCCGTCTAGTATGCTAAGGATGACGCATAATTCTGTCGAAGATGGATCTGCCAGATGGTCGCCTCATCAGTTTAGCAAGACTGAACTCCAAAAACTCTCTACCAGTGGGTTAGGAAAACCCCTCAAGTGTAACAATCCTGATTACTATGCCGATGTTTGGCCGACTGTAGCCAATGCACATGCTCCTTGTGCTCACGCTCCTCAGAATTCACATCACCGGAGACACTACGAGCTCTGAGCTTTGTTGCTCGACACTAGCCTTTGTACGATATATTTTTACAATTCCGTTGAACCTCTCGTTCGGAGCCTATGTGTAGTGTGCATGCTTCCGGAAATGTTTGAGGTCAGTTGAAGTGGATATGTAAGATATATATCGAATATAATAACAAATTTGCCGAGATTTCGCTGCCAACATATGTGGCTTTGCGTTGCTTCTGAAATATGCATGAATCTGGCTTACTACTTAGCTGAAGTTTTGTCCATCGGTACGAGGCTGATTGTGCATTGCAAGAGTGGACTATCTAGGAGCCTCAAAGCCTTGCTACAGCTCCGCTGCTGAAGGCAAGGGAAGCTCTACAGCCTTCTCAACACTCGTGATCAGGCAGGAAAATAGTGAGGCTTGAGACTTGGACAACATGTGTAAAGAGGCTGTGACTCTGTACTGAGCTGGAGGAGCCAACTTCTATGCAGTGATTGATATTTGCATCTTCAACTTCTGAATGGAGCAGAACTTGTTTCTGATTGACATTCACGAGGTTAGCAGTCGGGTGTTGATTAGTTTTCATCCCAGCTGCTTTTCTGCATACACACGTAGTCTCATTAAGTCCACTCATAAGTCTACCTGTTCTCTCGGAGTACACAACCGACCTTACTTCGTATCAGAAAATGCGGAGACATCCTTCTACCAAAGACCAGAAATCGCGCCCTCCTGCAGAGTGATTGAGAAACAGATCGAACTTTCATCGTATGAATTTTACACCACATGACTATGTCTGACATCGCAGTATGCCTGGATATCCAAGCGGCCACATGACTAAGAGCGGCAGGCTGACAGCAATCACGGTGAAGAAGCTTGTGGTAGAAGTGTACAGCATAAGTGCACACAGTACACATCTCCAAATGTCTTCAAAATGTTATTAATTTGGAACAGTTTAGCTCAACGAGTCTCAATTTAATACAGCTGTATTAAATTGAGTCATGTTTCGTTTGGTATGTCAATTACACAATCTAATTCCTTGTTCTTCCGATAGGCAGTCCATATACTGAGTAAGGTATTACCAGAATAGAGAATTGGCTGTTGCTATTTGTATTATTTGGTTTCCTAGTATGAGGAATGAGGGCTGTGCCGGCCGAGGAGGTAGTGCCATACCAAAGCGACACCGGCGAGCCCGAAGCAGCAAGCTGCCCCTCTGGACTCACACCCGTGACAGAAATTAGATTAATATCGTGAGGATCGATGACCCTCGTATCAGATATTAAACTGATAAGAACAGACACTACACTTGATCTTAGCCAAAAGGCCGAGAAAGGTATACCTGGAAAGTCTAGACCCAGAGTTTATGACTCTCACTAATACTCAAGAGGAAATACCGGCCGTATGGGTTTTTACAATTAGAACTGCGAATTCTCCATCAGCCGCGTGGAGGAAGTAGCACAAGCATGCTGAGCTCGTTGTCTACGAGCGGGCACCACAATGAGGCGTTAGAGAGGGAGTGAGCTCCTCCTATCTCTCCATAGCTCCACTCATTTTCACACTACAAATTTGCACTTGAACCACCAGTTGCTTTGGGTTATGACTCTTCTTCGAGGAAATAATTCTCGATATGGTGATTGCACATGATCACATGTTCCAGTGCAAAATGCGAAAACAAAATCAAAAGTTAACATATTGAAAAAAATTAAGACTTATGGCAACTAAAATTCTAAAGCTATGAAAGAGATAGTGAACAATTTTAGATAATGATGATGTGAGAATAGATCGTTTAAACTGCCACAATGATATCTATATTGTCATCAACATCGTTTAATGGAGAATAATACAATAATCATGCAGGGTGTTAAATAAAGTAAAGAAAGTTGTTATTGATCGTTTAGTAGCTGAGATTAGTTTTTATATAGTTGTAGATAATATTACTTCATTGACGAAATGGAAAAACAATCTTGCGAAAATATGTTGATTTAAAATGCTGTAAAATATCCTTTTGTCTGCAATTATCACAAATTTTTTTCATTCTCTAACTAATTTTGAACAAGTTCGCAAAAATACCTAGTTAAATATTGAATTTATTGATTTTGATATTTTTATATTATATATCATGCACAAAGAAAAAAAATCATTTTTTTTATAAGAAAAATTGATTACTTATTATGGTCAAATATTGGAAACAGAGATCTATTTTCAATGCTAGGTTAGTTGTAATTCAATGTCAACTTTATTAACATATGTGGTCATAAAATATATACAATAGATGACACTGAAGGTTTATATTACAATCACATTGTGAAGTATGGGAGTTTCATGGATTAATTTAATTTGAGTCTTTGAATATATTTGGCAACATGAACATTATGTAGCGTTGTTCATATTTTTGGATTCTCATCCGCTTAATTATCACTACAGTTGGTTCGCAAAAATCATAAATTACTATTTATCTGCATTTTCAATGCAGATATCTTCTAAGTAACTGTCACATGCACGTCATACTTAAGATCAAAACTCAACTTTATAAATGCATAAGCTTTAATAACTTGGTTAATGGGCATAATATATAATGCTTTCTGTAGTATGCCGTGAATAAAGGGCTAAAGTGGACAACTGAAAGGGGAAAAAAATTTGTACTGCTTTCATGAGATACTTCAAGGTACATCTATCGTTTCATGTAAACGTAAGATTAAATATAATACACTATTATGTGCACGAAGTTCTCAAATTATTATTTTTCATTCTAGGATGATACTTTAATTTAAAAGATGCGAGTAAAAGTAATTTTTGACAAATCGAATCATTTTTTTTGCATAAATATGTCAATGCAATTTTATTTCTAACAAGTTTTTTGAAAAATAAATTAAATTTCTACCAAGTCAACATAATTTTTGAAGAAAAAAACTACACGTTTCGTCTCAAACTTACCTGATGTGAAAATTTGGTATGAACATAAAAGTTTTACGCAAAATGCAGTTCAAGTAAAGCCAAACTAGTAGCAGTCTTACCCCAAATTTTATTTTAATTTAAAACAGGAAAATTGCGCTGTAAGTATTTACAGTGAAATTTTACGTGGAGTTGATAAAATTTCTGTTCAAAATATTTTGAAAAATGAATCGATGAACAACGTAAATCAGAATTAGTAGAGATTTCTTCCTAAATAATTTCCGATAAAATCTAAGTTTTCAAATAAAAATGAAAACTTCATACGATTCTATCAAGATCAATTAGGCTTCATAAAAACCTCAAACAATAGTTTTTTAAAATTATTTTCAAAGGATTTCAACGGTATGTCTTGTTGATATTAACAAATCAGTGAAAAGCACTTGAACGTCGCAACAAAGGCTGATATATTTCTTTGAGAAAAAATAATTTTTTCAACTTAGTGTTCGCTTCATATATAAGAATATAACATATCCTAAACCCCAAATCCAATCACATCATATCTGCCAAAATTAAGCTAAGTTGTATACTCTATGTGTCAATCATAGATTATCCAATCATTTGAAAATCAGAATTATTGGCTGAAACATGGTGGTGTGTTGGACACTCAACGCGGCCACAAGTTCTGACAACCTTTCATAAACTGTTGACTCCTGAACATGTTATTTCCAAGCAGAGCTGTCTGACCAGTGACTTACGCAACACTACTTTCGATGAATCCGATGGAAAACGAGATGGATATGGATGTATATCAATGTATGAAACTAAAGTTTCACTCTCTAGCATCACCATGAATACGAACGTGAGCTCGCAGTCAAGTCTTGGAGTGCCTATAACCCCAAATATCTCGTCCCAAAGTAATCAATTAATTCAATTTCAATGCTGTAAAGATGTGAAGGCAAGCACAAAAGTTGCATGCAGGCAATGTATTAAAAGGGTGTGAAAAGAGAGTAAATCGGCAAATCACTCGGAAGCTAAGGACTGTCCGAAGGTTGGAGCTATGGTTATCGTGGTGACAGAGTTCATTTCTCATGGCTTCACTAGATGTGACAAGTTACTGAATACGAGGTTCTGTGGACGACAAAATTCGATGGAGACGTCTGTGGACCAAAGAGACGCACAGCTAGATCTCATTTTGATCAATCATAGACAGGCGATGCTCTGCTCCTACTTGAAACTCAGTTCTTTGAAGCCCAGCATGCTCTGAAAACTCGACCAGTGGAAGGAAGCCTGGTTCCTTCTCTTGGGAACAATACATGGACAAATCAATTCAGATTGAGGATGAAGAAGTTCTGTCACTGCAACTCACCCGTTGCTCCCCAGTCTTTCTAAGCTCATTTGCATACATGCACGTGTAGAAATTTACTCGTGAATTTCTAGAGCGTTTGGATAATGGCAAAATCTCCATGTCTGCAACCACAGAGTCGACTGTATAACTTACTTCTGATATGATCTACTGCGTAAGTCAGTCATAGAAGATCAACACATCTTACCAAGGATCACAGTTCCATCACAGATTCTCTCACGGCCATGTTTGCTGTGGTATGAGGATATATCCAGTATTTATTTTCATTCTGACTTGATCGCTCGGAGATGGGAATTTGTTCACAGATGAAGTTTCCATTTTGCTCACCAGAATGTCAATCGATTCTTCCTCGTGATCGTCAGTAAAACGCTTCTTGGAATTTGTGGGGAGGGTTTTGCATTCGAGATTCTGCTGCACATCGTATTGCACAAAGTTCTGGCCAGAGCGAAGCAAATCTGCTGCTAGCTCATGACATCGAAGCGCAAGCAAGCATGACTGTACTCCACGTGGCTTTCTAGAAGTGCCCTTGGTGATGACTACCCTCTCGACATAAGCTGGATTGGTTTTCTGACATCTACTCCCAGTTAATATGCCTTAAGACAAGTTCTGACTTTACGTCGAAAAACACTTCCAAAGAATGGACAGCCCAGTTTCTTCCATCACACAGCTATTGAGGAGGTACAGCCGGTGTGGAAGTTCATATCTTCTCTTCACACCCTGCTACTTCTTGAGATTCCGTTGCAATATACCTGCAAAAACATTTAGTGAACATTTGTTTTACGGATTATTTTGCACATATAAATGCTTGCCACTTTGAGGTCAGCATCTAGTGAGCTCTTGCTTCTGTCTCATGAATTGGACGAGGAAGGCGAAAACTCTCTAGCTGTCGGTGGATCAATGCGGAAGAGATTTGATTTCCTCATGTCGACCATGCTTCATCGCTCCACTCAACGTTATCAAAGTAGCCAAATTCGAATAGATCGACTGGACTTTGCCATGGACGAGGTCCACGTTCAAAATGCATCATTCAATGTTCCGCATGATCTTGATAGAGAGTAGAAGGAGGTGAAGGTATGCAGATGCTTTTTTCCTCACGACAAATTTTCAACACTCCGAGACGAGTAAATGTCCTTTCATCGTTGAGACCATTACCCACTATCCCGTTCAACGTGTTACCAATGTGACTCTTTCTGACGGCGAGTACATGGGGAAAGGAATTTCAACCTCGAAATCTGTAACAGCTGACCCGTCGGCCTTCTGATGTACACGCACGGAGAATGAAATTCAGCACCGTCGTCAGCGTCGCAGGAATCCTATGATTTCGTCATGAAGCCTTCATGTCCAGAGAACGGGTCCAGAGAAGTCTCGAGCATGCTGCCCACAAGATTCGTGGCTCCGATGTGGGATCGAGAGAGCTCGGGAGAGATGACGATCGAGAAACACGCGACAGTGTGAACGACCGACCGCGGTGCGCAGCAGCTCATGCAGCGTAGCCTTCTTCCTGGCGCAGGAGTTCCAGAGCATCCATCGCGATCCGTCGGATCAACAGAATCGAGAACACGAAGAATATGACGTACTCGAAGGGATCGGGCGCCATCACCAGCCAGCCAGCCAGCAGATGTGCTCCAACTCCTCCGAGATCTGGCTCCGTGTCAACGATCACGTTCGATAGCAGGTGAAGAGGCATGTCGTTCACGGAAGGTCTCGAGAGCCAGTCATCACTCTGTACCTTCTGCCGAGCGCCTGCAAACAGACATGTCTCTTCAATCCATCCATGTCTGCCGTGCAGGCCTCGGCTGATGCTAAGCGACCGATAAAACAAACTCTCGGAGCTTCGACGTGATCTTTGCGCATTCGAGCTCTTCTGATGAGCCTGCCATTCTCGTCGCCCTGTGATGGGCCCCGATCGGACTCATCATCCACTGCCACCACCACCGGGAATTACGTCTCCAGCTTCCGATGCACGAGAGCGATCTGATCACAGACCAGGGACACGAATCGAAGCTTGGCATCTGATGCATCCGGACTCGCCGGCGTGCGGAGTCTGAGCACCGACACGAGATCTATCCGTCGTGAGAGCGCCACAAAATGGTGGATCGAAGACGAAGACCCCTGCGGGTGATGATCAACAGCGCCGGGAGGAACCCTTTCGCGACGCTGAGGCAGCTGATTCTGCACGCGATTGCCAAGGAGAGGAAGAGAGGCGGCTGTACGAAGCACGACATCAAATTGAACATCGAGAGGTTCTACAACTGCAAGCTGGGCAGGAACTTCATGGGCCAATTGGGCAAGGCGCTGACCAGATTGGTGAAGGATGCGGAGCTCCACCACCACTACGAGCGATACCAGCTCGTGCCGAGCTGCGTTATCAAGTACGACGGCCTGCCCAAGAGGCACAAGTCGCCGCATTGCTTCTGCATGAACCCCCGATGTCGACTCAGGAGCAGGAGCAGCAGGAGCAGGAGCAGGAGCCAGAGCGGATCCCGCAGCAGAAGCCGCAACAACAGCACGAGCCGGAGCCGGAGCCAGAGCGGATCCCGCAGCAGAAGCCGCAACAACAGCGCGACCCGACGCCGGAGCCAGAGCGGATCCCGCAGCAGAAGCCGCAACAACAGCACGCCCCGACGCCGGCGGCCAAGGTCCACGGGCCTCAGTAGAAATGTTACACACGACCCCCCAAGGAGAAGGAGGGGGAGGCCACCCATCCGTGGCAGGGGCCGACCCAGAAATCAGCGAGGCCGACCCAGAGGCCGACCCAGAGGCCGACCCAAAAGACGAGGCCGACCCAGAGGCCGACCCAAAAAACGGCCGCGCAGAGGCCCGAGTCGGGCCGGGAGCGCCCAAGGGCGATCGAGGTCTCGCCCCGCTAATGCTCGTCCGACTCCGCCGCCAGGCCAGGAGAGCGATGGCAATGCTCCACCGCCCGACGCTTCCCAAAGCACTCCCTGATCGTGCAACAAATCTGAGGGCCTCGAGATGTCGACCGGAAATCTGACTCTGGCCGCTCTCGAAACATGGTTGCCGAGCACACTCGTCAAATGCAACTTTGTTCTGGAAACCATGTGATCACACGTTGTGAAGCTTGCTGTATCTCAGATTGAGCAAGACGAGCGAGCGAGCGTGCGTGCGTGCGTGCGTGCAGCGCGTCGATGGAATCACTTGTTTTTTTTTACTCCTCGATGCCTGATGCTCGATCTATGTTCCATCACGTGCTTCTCGAAAAGATTATCCAATTCTTCGAACACTCTCGAGATTCTGGAAATTCGCCCTTTTCACAGAGAGAAGGCAGGAAAATCAGATTTAGGAGGCGTAGTAGAAGTAGCAGTGCTGATCACGAGAGGATCTGGCGTGATCGATCGCCGTCCCGAAAGTGGCGGTGGATGGAAGGACATTGACTCGGGCTGGAATTAATAAACTTGCAGTAGAAGGACGAGCGAGAGAATCCAAAATTCCCTGGGTACAGAAAGGCAAAGAAGGAAATCCACTCGCCATGTCTGGCCTTCGGCCCTTCGGACCCTCGAAACGCGCGAAGCACTTCTCCCTGCAGTATCCCGCCCTTTGGGCCATATAATTCGGGCTTTAGTCGATACCTGAGCGCCTTCAGCCATGACGGGCCCCGGAGAGGGTCGAAAAACGCCTTTATATAAAAAAAATCTCACCGATATCGTAGCTTGAACTCAAGAATCAGTCCAGTATGGGAATAATAAGCTTAAGGATGTGCAATTAAGCGTACTAAGTCTTCCTGTATCGAGGTTGAGGATTAGAGAAGTCATTAGCCTCGAGTCTCAAGCGTATGAAGACGCAGATCAGATGAGAGTGAGTACAAGGGACAGCATCAGGTGTGATGTCTTCTTCGAGAATTAGATGGTTCTCGTGAAACTCAGAACTTTATCTCCACAAAACGTCAACTGAAACGAGTGACCAATGAGCCTCAATCTTCATATACCAATAAGAAGTACCAACTTTATGTCTGGAATGTGTTGAAGCTCGATAACAAAAAATTCATCTCTTATCGTCGCTTCACATTCCTGTCCTTCTATGAGGACTTGCTTTATTCCTTCATTCGTAAATTAAATATGTCAAAATGAATCCTCACAGCAGATTTACAGTGTAACGGAGTACTACACCACATCTGATTGATTTCGCGAAATTGCTTTCTATGTCACTCCATTGCCAAATGGTCATGGTGCTAAGTGAGCTGCAGCAAAGCTGGAGTCCAAATCCACAGCCAGGAGAAGATCTGGGAAACGGTATCACGGATTCGAGAAATTCCATCGGCATTTCGTGGCTAGAGAGGCTCTTCTACATGGAGGCAGAGCGGAGTTGTCGTGGACTGACTGGGCTTAGCTCTAAGCTGGAAATCTCTGTGCATATCATTATTGTACAATGCAAATACATGAGGGTTGAGGAAACTAGTGACAGTCCCGAATTCCCAAGCGTGGGGCACAAATCCCTTGGACAGCCAATACTCCACACCCTTACGTTATGGCGTTTCTCCAGCTCGTACATCGTCCGTTGAGAAGGCAATGAATGGGATTGCTCGGGTCGACAGAATAGTAGGCTCAACACTCCTCACTCCTCACTCTTTTGGCTAGAAAGGGATTCCACACTTCATGCACATAGTGTCAAAGCCATGTTGCACATGTGCTGGTCTTATCAGGAGAGTACAGATAGTGAATTCAACAGTTGAGTCAATTCTCCCACAACACATCACTGTCTGAAACCCCACAAGCCCCATGCAGAGAAGGCGAGGAACGGGCTTCATCCACCTCGTATACCGGAATACCGTCGGTTGAGTTGAGAGGCAGACAGATTGGGATTGATGAATTAATTGCATGGTCGGGCCTATTGTTTACCTTCGATCCGTCGGGTTGGATGAATTGCATGTCATTTGGTCCCGGTATACCGTCGGTAGTGCAGGCGGTGACTGACTTTCCTTGGTGGGGTGGATGACTAGCATGTCAGCAGTAGCGAGTACCACTATGCGCCGAGACGTCAGTCAATGGACCGTCCAGCTGCCACCCAGTTTAATGTCCGACTGTCGAGGATGAGATACGGATGCTTGTACGGGACGAAGGAAAAGGTGTTTGAAGAATGAACTTTTGAGTGGCAAAGCAGATTCCTTGACCTGATTTACATGCGGTGTCCAAGCAGGCGTTTTCCATCAATTTAATACTATCAAAAAATCAAAGATCGTGCTTCTCACCCAATACTTTACAGCGACAGAACATTATCCACTGCATCATTCTTTTGCAACCTTGAGAAAAAGGGGAGGTGGGTCACACGGTCACAGCTCCCTCGTTGTTGGCCACACTGTCGAAGTTGAGGCAGAGGAGTGCTTTAGACGGCTAGTCTAAGACAGTGTACAAGACTCGGGGCTAGATCTGTCAGCGCCAAGCTCCAAATCGTCCGCACCTGTACGTACTGTTGTACCTACGTTAGAGACCAGTGATGAAGCTCGCATTCAGAACCTCGATGATGGAAAACATCACTGTCAACTTGCTAATGTTGATCGTCATGAACACATTTGTCTACATACTTCTCTCTGCTGCAAAGACCGGTCGACTGATTTCTCGCATGAAACAAATAAATTTCCAGATATCTCCAGAACAAAATCACTCCCAAGCGTAGCAGAGATGAGAGAACTGAGAGCTCCTAAGAAGCAGCTGTTGTCTCTCGATCGCGACGTTCGATAACTGCTCTGCTTCCGAATGATTGATGCTCCGATGCTCGTCATGTACTGTACTGTACATGAAGACAACGAACTTTTCAGAATCCGCCCGTCACCTGCAAGACCCGTCAAAGCAGGGCTCAGGACACCTTTGTGATGTCAAGCGATAATCGCAAACTGAGATCCGTATGTCCGCTCCTATGGGACGATGAGGGTCTCACGTACAGCCACAATCCTTCAACAGTATTCCACATGTTTTCCAACAACTTTTGTTTGTACTCATCGTAAAGCTGCGCGAGAAGACTTAGATCGTAGAAATGCGGTCCACCCACACGTCAACGCTTTCGCCCAGACGATTGCTATACAGTACGTAATCTAATTTTTGTGTAGGGATACTCTACGTGTCCGAGGCAATGTGGATGCTGGTTGTTGACATAAACGTGACTCGGAGACGTCCAGAATGAAATCGGATCATGCGTTGATCATGTTCACCGTCGGTTTCAATGGTCCTACTTTCAGTCTATCGCTAATATGAGGTTACTGCTTCCTGTGCTGTGACCACTGTGCAGCTTGCAGTGATTAGCGTACAGGACACGGATAGCGTACCCAACGAAGCATGCACGTCATGTGACTGTGCCACCCGTCTTAACTCTGAGTGTGTTGTAATTTACTCTGACAAGGACTTTGTGTATTCTTCATGTACTGTACCGATGCATTTTCATACGTGACGTGGAGGCCAAGTCCTGACCATCTGCTTTCTCCTTGTGTGCTTTCGGATGGCCGACAATTGGTTCTCTTCTGCTTCTATAGATTATCTAATTGCTCATGACGAATTTGCCATATACAGTGGAAAAGATAATCAAACTTTTCAGTTTCTCTCTACACTACCTTATTAGTTCTGAAAAAGTTGCTATGTATGATGAAACAGATGAGGGGCCATAGCGGATGTATAATTGGTACGGAAGGATACATCAACTTGTGCGATGAAGCAGCAGCGTGTAAATGCGTAGTGATGGATTTATATTCGTGCGGACTTTGTTGACCAGAGGCGGTGGAATTTGGATATATTTATTCCATATTTTATCTGATATTTTTCCTTCGAGAGAGCTAACGATTTATGTTTCCCTCTTTCTCCGCACTTAACGATTTCATTTTTTATACAGTAAATTATCTCAGTAAATTCTTATTTCATTCTTATTATGTAATTATTCGTCCCTTTTACCGATCATTCATAAAGTGGTTTCCAACAGCGGTTTTTTTTCTGCTTATAAAAATATATACTAGTGACAGAATGTGCCCTGACGAAGAACACTCGTGCGCGGTTTGATGTGCAATAATCGGTGGATTGCATGAAAACAAACCATCATCAAAATTAGCGTACAGCAAATTTCAGGCACAAATCGATGAGTAAGAAACCACCGGATACATGCCCAATTTCCACAGTCGGTTGTAGACATTGCAGAATACCCTTCGCATATGATGGAAATATTCAGAAGCCAAAGCTAGGCAACGAACAACAAGGCAACCGGGAGAGGAGGTTGCACACAAGCGGCTTGCATCAAACAGCCACGAAGTTCAAGAATGAAGGTAACTCGTGACAATACAAATGGTGGTGGTAAACGCCTCAAATCGTTGAAGTGGCTGCAGGTGCAGTCATCGATACATTATATGACTCCAATTGAAGAGTGGAACAAAACCTAGCAAAATTGTCAATGAAATCTCTATGGTACACGGGCCTGTACATGAGCTTGTGTATGGTACAAAACTGAGAAACTCCAAAATCAAAGAAGTTTTTAACTGCGTCGAACACGAGCAAACTCTACGCCCATGGCATTTCCCCTACAACAGCTATGACACGCTTCAGTTGGCCAACGACGTGCTTTGTGACGATCGTCGGCCGCAGTCCTCGAGTCCGTCTTCAGGCGAGAAAAGAGAATGTCCCGCCAATCCTCAGAATATATTCGTCTTCGCTTGGACGGGAAGAAAGCAGCACCTCGATTGTCCGATTGATATATAAATATAGTCACGCATGTCGCCACCTTGCTTGTCTTCTCTTCTCTTCATGATGATGATGATGATGAAGGTGTGATAGCGGATCACCTGGGACTCACGTGGAACTCACGCTTGCACGGCTCACTTGCTCGATCCAGTGTCGTCCTGCTGAATCTGATCTACGATGACGATGAGCGACGCGATAAACGCATGGTCCACACCGGGAAACACCGTCACCCCGTACTGATCTTTGCCAGCGAACACCGACTGCACATTGATCTTCTTGCTCGCCTGTTGATTCCACAACCAAGAGCCCAGACCGAGTAAGAATTCTGAGCTCTTTGCAGTGCGACTCGAGTCCGAACATTACAGCACAGCTGGAAGAAAGACAAGCGAGGCGATGGACCATACCTCAGCGATGGGCGTGTGGTGGAAGAAAACCGTGTAGCTATGTTGATAGAAGTCTCCTTTCAGAGTGAAGTCGGGCCTCGTGAGCGCTGTGTTCGCCGAGAGGTAGATATCGAACGACGGCTTCATTTGATAGATGGACGATTTCTTCATGATGAACAGCAGATTACTGTCGTGAGAATCATCGCCCCGATACGCTTCCCATCTGTCGTGCAGAGTCACGTTCTGTCCAGCCAAGAGAAGAGAAGCCCGTCAGTCAGTCAATCAGTCAATCAATCAATCAATCAGTCAGCCAATTACAGCTCGAAAATCACTCCCATGCTGAGGAGTGAGATGAGCTGATTCTGCTGGCAGGCTTAATTTAGAGCCTCGAGAAGCAAAACAAATATGGGAATTGAAAGCGATGAACAGGCAGTCAAATGTGCAGCACGGACCATTTTCTTGAGCAGCACGAGAGGGATGCCCTTGGAGTCGCGCAGGATGCGCTTGGTGTGGATGCCGAACATTTTGCTCTCGACGTCGAAGAGCAGACGGCCCTGGCCGTCGGCGATGACGAAGCGGCCCGAGCTCAGAGTCATCACCTTCTGCTCGATGAGGAACTGCGCCATGTACGGCACGCAGAAGGAAGGGCTGACCACGGGAGGCACGGAGACGGCGGCATTCGCCATGCCCACGCTGTACCCGCTGCCGCTGGGCTCGGCGTAGTGGGTCATGCGCCCCATGCCCATGCCGTATCGGCCCGTCTCGTACTCGCCCGTGTCGATGCACCCTCCGCCCGAGTGCCCGTATCGGCTGCCATACTCGCCCGTGTCAATGCATCCCCCGGAATGCCCATATCTCCCGTGCCCCCCGTGCCCCCCGTACCCTCCGTTGTCGACGATGCACCCCGACTGCCCATACCTGCCTTCTCGCCCGTAGCCGCCAGTGTTTATGCATCCCCCCGACTCCCCGTAGCCGTAAGGGTCCCCGCCATATCCCCCGTGCGGCGGGTACCCCGACATCCTCGAGCTTCTGGAACCTATTTTGCCTGCAGAGGCTGCGCTCAATTTCCTCGCCTTTCCTCGCCTTTCCTTCGACGACGACGACGACAATCCTCGAGCGGCCCTCGACGACTGCGATGTCTCTGCGACTGCGCCTGCTTGTGGGACTTGACTGTGCGCTGAGGGCTGCTGTGTGTCTGATGCGATGAATGAAAGGCTCTTGGAGTGAGACCGGAGGGGGCAGGGACGGACTTATACGACGAGGCGGGAGAGAGGATGGATGGATGGAGGGCTGGCTGGCTGGCTGGCTGGCTGAGTGGGGGCAGCAGGCAGCAGGTGGTACAGTGGCAGCCGGGCATCGACAGCCGGGGAAACGTGTGCGTCGTACGCCATGGCGACAAAGAGGCGTGAAACCCAGCGCGCTGCGCCGGGGGCCGATTTCGCACGCCCGCCCGCCCGCACCATCGGCGCAAGTGCGTTGGCGCACGCCTCCTCCTCTACTTGCTCTTCTCCCCCGATGCGCTCACAGCTCTCCTCTCTCGCTTGCTTGCTTGCTTGCCCGAGAATCCAATCTCGAGCCGAACGAACCAACTGCTCCCACTCTCGCGCTCGCTCGCTCGCTCGCTCGCCCTCCAATTTGTCGCTCCCTCGAGCAGTCGTCGTCCTCGACGACAGCGATCCCCGACCCGGGGGGGGGGGGGACGAAGACCGGTTTCCCGCCCCGTTTGGTCCTTTTCGGGAAATAGGGGGTGGTCGCTTTTCTCGAGAGGACCGGTGTGCACACGTGGTGGCCCGGCAGGCCTCGGTCGAGTAAGCTGCACCCACGCGTCGGCTGGAGGTTGCGTGCTAGCGTGATGTGGCGTGGCCGGGCTGATGAGACAGCAGGTCATTTTCAACGTGCGTGACGATGATGGTCCGTCCGGGCAGTGAGTGTGTTCGCTGAATGCTCGCTCGCCGTCTTCTTCTTCTTCTTCTTCTTCTGGTTCCGAATGCTCGCTGCGTCCGTGTTGGCAAAAAGTCCTTCGTGGCGTCATGTGCTTTCTGTCCTTTGTCTCATCCTCTTCCTTTTCCTTCTCCTTCTCCTTCTCCTGCTGCCTGATTGGTTCGTCGGTCGTTGGCGGGTTCATGAATGTGTCGAGGCTCCGTAAATTCATGCACTTGATTTCTCAGCTCGCTACCCGACTAACTGACCTTGTGCACCGATTCCATTTCATCTCATTCCACTTCACTTCACTTCAATTCACTTCACTTCAATTCAATTCAATTCGATTCGATTCAATACAATACAATACAATTCACTCCACTGCGATTGGCTTCCCTTCACATTTTCGAGGCATTGGTTAGGATGGGAGAAGTCTTCCTTCCAGCAGTATGATGCTGCTGATGCTGCTCTGCGAGTGGTTCGTATCGGAATCGATGCTTCATGCAGTCTTCAGGACTGCGAGCGAGGCCAGTGAGGTTTGTTCGATTTCGTTCGAGTTGAGGTTTGATGAGGGATTCCAGGAGGATGCTTGGATCTGAGGGTTGTCCGATGGTTGAGATTGTCCTTCCTTTGGTATCGAGCTTCATTAGTGAAGCTAGTATAGACTCTACATGATTGGAAAAGCTAAGGGAAATTCTTTCTAGGCACTGGCTGGCTGGATTGCGGTCTCGGTGCAGGAATCTGATCCGAATGATTCGTCGGTCTCAGGGCAGCAGCATAACCAAATTCAGCAACAAGCTGCTTGCTACTGAATGGACTGTCCCGATTTCAGCTCACCAAACCGGTGCCTTTGCATGAGTCACGAAAAGTTCAGGAGATTCCTGCCGGACAGAATAAGCCAAGCGTACATTCTTGTGTGGCGAAATCTGGCTGACCACGGACGGAAGGTCAAGAGAAGGTTGTCGGGCTGCCTCACTGACCTTCAATCAATGTTCGCATTTCCTTGTTTCTCCTGAGACAACTAACTTGCACGTTGTCTGCCTCTTTGACCCTTCCTCTGTCTATGAAGTGACTTCTCTTGTGCATATGTTGGAACTCATGTCGACTGGCTGCTGATCTCCGGGACCCCAAGCAAAGTTCCTTGCATGATAGATTATGAATTTGGGGAATCAATCAACTCACTTGATCGTATGCTCGATGCATCCATCCGTAGCTCTTGGTATGATGGAAACTCTACAATACTTCGCAAGCTTCGTTTCATTTCACTTGAAGTCTTTACCATTTCAAGTCCATTCCAGATCTCGAACCATCGAATGTCCTGAAGCCTTTCTCCTCGTGTCTCCGCAAGTGTTTGCTGGACTGTCTGCCTTGTCTGGTCTATCATGGTACAGTCCAATAAAACTCCATGGACTGTGATAGGTATTTCGTGCATTCCTTAGCATAAGCTCACCACCGACCTGTACCATCGACATAAAGAGCAGCCGCCAGTGACCCCCACTCTGGTCAAAAAGAGGAAAAGGAAAACCTTGCCAGCCCAGCGCAGCCCCACTTGCACCGCTTTAGATGCTCGGATTGTGAACATTCTTCCTCCTTGTGCGTGCGTCCGTGCGGTCAAGAGTGGGTCCACAGCCATTTCACAGAAGTAGACCTGGACCCATGTTGATCTAGGACCTGACCACCACCCTCATATTATCTCGACCATCGTGAAGCCAATTGGAAGATTGTCATTTGTGACAATCTTCTCACGAACATTTGCACGAAACGCATTTGTCGAAGCGTGCAATATTCAATGGAACGGTGACACACCAATCAACGCCACGAATCCTCCATCTCCAAGTTATCGACGAACTCATGAACGAATAAAAACGCACAACGTCGAAATCGATAAATACATGCGTCATCCGTCGTCCATCCCGACGACAGGGTATGGGAGACTGTGCTCTCTCGGCCGATGCCTGGAAACGGTGGCCGCATGGCAAGGGAAGACTTCTCTTGCAGATTCCGGAGCTCACAGCTTCATGGAATGTTTACACTTCTGAACACCCATCAACGATCTACGCGCTCTTCACTGATTCCGAGGCTCGCAGCTGGTTCTCCGTCTGGGGACGGGGGAGGGCACCACTGCAGGGCAAGACGAGGGTCGGTTTCCTCCAGACTGAAGGTCAGAGAACAATTTATTTTGGCACCCGGAAGGCGAGGATGGTGTCCAGATGGAAGGCACTCCATATACGACGAGAAGCTCGACCTCCAGAGATAGCCATGGCCAGCGACTCGGCGAGATTCGGCCCACCAACTCGCTGTGGGAAGTTGGAGCAGCGAACCGCAGTAGTACAGCGGCGGGGGGAGAAGGAGGTAGAGCGATGGCCGAAGTGGCCGAATTTCTTATTCTTCTTCATCCCCACAGAAGATGCCTCCCTCCCTCCGGGTGTCAGATTCGGACGCGCTGCGGGATGCTATTGCTCACACCATTGACACGAGGACGAGGAGCTCGGTGAAGGAGATAGGGAGAGGCCCGTGTGCATGTCGACTCATCGGATCAGAGTGGCAGCAGCAGAGTGATGCGCTGACCTCAGCGCGAGAGCCCAATAAGCAAACGAGTTGACCTGTTCGTTCTCCTCGGCCCCGAAGCCACCCAAACACGACACGAGGAAAGGCTCGACAATTCTTCTGGCTTGATTGAAGCACAAACAAGATCCACAGGTGGGTTCGTGTGGAATTCGTCACAAGTCTCTCGCGGTTGTCTTCCCCTGCTCTGCACGGCATGGCGAGCGGTCGCCGAATGTCCGCTCGCTGGATTTGTCAGCTTTCCATGTGTGATGCGTCTGCTGTTTGTTGGAATTCCTCGTGAGCTCTACGTGTGCGCTTTCTCTCGGTACAGCTCAAGCGGCTGCGAATTTCTTGGCCTCGACGGCTGTGCACATGTGGCGAGTGTCGAAGACGTTTCTGTGATCGGAGGACATCTCTCGCTGGCGCAATTGTCAATTGCCTCAGTCGCACCTCGCGCTTTGCTCGACCCGACTTCTGACCCGGTCGTTCGTCTCTTCTCCCCTGCCCTGCCCCTCGACACTTCTTCCGCTCCTGCGATCGGTGGGCTCAATCACAATCAGGGTAGCAACATTTGCAGGTCCAAAGCTCGACCGCATCGTTCGGTGGGTCGTTGTAGATCAGAGTCGGCGAATTCGCAGCGTTCTGATTCGAGTGATCTGCTCTTGGAATTGGACAGGGTCGCAAAGGATTGGGATCAGAGAGGAGAGGAGGAGAAGAGCGCAGGGATGGCGAACTCGAGCGAGAAGCAGGCGGAGGCGGCGAAGAAGCAAGGCAACATCTACTTCAAAAAGGAGAAGCTCGGGGCGGCCATCGAGGCGTACACGGAGGCCATAGCGCTGTGCCCGCAGGTGCCCGTCTACTGGACCAACCGAGCTCTGTGCGAGCGCAAGCGCAATGAGTGGGAGAAGGTGGAAGCCGACTGCCGTAAAGCTCTGGAGCTCGACAATAAATCCGTGAAAGGCCATTACATGCTGGGATTGGCCCTGCTTCACCACCAGCAGTACGGGCGAGCGGTGGCCGAGCTCGAAAAGGCTTTGGATCTCGGCCGAGGAGTCACCGCCGGCACCAGCTACATGGTGGAGGAGATCTGGCAGGAGCTGGCCAAGGCTCGGTACACGCAGTGGGAGGATAGCGCCACCGCCAGACGCCAGCAGCAGAACCAGCTGCAGTCGTATCTGCACCATCTCTTGTATCTCGACAACCAGAGCAAGCTGAAGGAAATCACCAGCGTCATGACTCCCTTCGAGTTCCTCGATCCCTCCTCGGAACAGCTGCAGGATTGGCGAGATTGCAAGCCCCAGGAAGGGGAAGAACGAATTAGACTCCCCACAACTGACGAGGATGAGGGTAGTTCTGGACTCGGGGAAGAACATTGCGGTGCTCCGGGAGTTGAAGTCGATGGACGTAGAGATGGAGGCAGTCTGTACCCTCCAATCTATGGACAGACTGAGGAGCACGAGCACGAGCACGAGCAAGCGGACGAGCATAAACATGAGCAGCAGCAGGAGGTGGAGGAGGAGGCTGAGGAGCGAACATGTGAGCTTGCAGGAGAGGAGGGTGGAAAACGAGTCGAGGGAACCTCAGGGAATCATGGCATCGGGGAAAGCAAACCAGAGCGAAGGAGGAGTACAGAGCCAGCACGATTCGATCCCTTGAATAATAAGTTCTCTTTGCAGCGTCGAAAGTCTCTGCAGCTTCGCGTCGATAAGCTTCTGAAAACAGCAGCAGAGGATGAGACGAAGGCAGCCAGCAGCAGCAGCCGCAGCTGGGACGAGGACAAAACCTCCTACACGATTTATGATGTTTTCAAGGTTTTCAAGGAAATGGTGAGACTGCAACAGGGCAAGGCCGGACAAGAACTTCTGAGGACGACTGAACTATACGAGCGCAGATCCAAAGCTCTCGACGATCTGTTCGACAAAGTTGCAGCTCCCGACATCTCTGGGGAGGTTCCCGATCATCTGTGCTGCACGATAACCATGGAGATTTTCAGAGACCCCGTTATGACTCCCAGCGGCATAACCTACGAAAGGGCTGCGCTAAATGAGCATTTGAAGAAGGTCGGTCACTTCGATCCGATTTCAAGGGCACCTCTTTCACCGCAACAGATTTTTCCCAACTTGGCAGTCAGAGATGCGGTTCAATCCTTTCTGGCTGAGCACGGGTGGGCTTACAGGACGTAGAATGATCAGTCGACCACCTGCAACTCCAAATTTTCTAGGTCAAGCTAAGCAAAATCTAGCACGAGATTGTACAGGAGGAAGAGACGAATCTGCTCGATCACGAAAATCGTATCAGTCTATTATTGCTTGTATATATATCCTCAGAGAATGCCGAACAGGAAAGAATTATTTCCAGCTAGAAATTTCGTTTTGCTTCATTAGATGGTGAGATTTTTGTGCTTCAAATTGGGCTATGGCCAAGGAGTGTTGCTTTGAAATCAGGGTTCCTGTGGTCGAACGTGGTGGAGTAGGAAAATTATTTCCTGAAATGTTGTAGATGGCTTCGACATTTCAGATACTCTTTCTTCTATTGGATTACGTGTTGGGTGATAAAGAGCATTATCTGCATACAGATGACGGAATCTAATCCTTCATTCAGTGTATTCTTTTGCGAGTCTACGTTTTTTAGTGATTTTAAATGACTTCGAGCTCATACGTAAATTATGTGCCAAGTTCTTCACATGCCGGCACTGGCTTTCACTCTCAGCTCTCAAACACTCACGCGGTCCTACTTCGTGTCTTTTCTCAGAACATTCCTGCTGCTTGTTGCGAGGTGACCATTGCCATGGACGAGGTCGACGATCTGAGGCGACCTCGATTCACCTCAAAACGTTCCAGGCAAACATTGTCGAAAAGAGCGCCCAGTGCACAGTGTATAACACGAAACTTGCAAAACTGAACGATCAGATTGTAGAAGGCTACTAATATTACTTACTCATATTCAATCGTATTAGGATGCGATCGGGAATCATAAAATCATTCGCGTCTTTTGCTACACTTCTTTAGTATCAAATTTTGACGGTCAGACGTCATGATGTTGTAATCCACTAGCTTGTTGGTCGACATAGTGTTGTGCCACTGCAAACGTTACAAGAGTGCTCTGACTCTGCACTGTGGCATTCATGAAGTCCACGGTACTATCCTCAAAGGCTGACATAGCTTTTACGAGAGGTGCGCAAAAAAACGTTCAAATCCAGAAAGTGAAGAGAGATAAGTGCTCGTAAATCGCACCTGGATTGTAGGTCTGTCAGAAAAAAGAAACTGAGAGAAAAAATAATCGGTCATTGTGCATTGACTAAGTATGACCAAGGCTTCCATTTGAATCATTCCGACCCCGAGGCACAGTATAAGTCAATATGTGTGACCATTAGAGGCACTACAGATAAGGGCGGGAACCTCGCACGAGAGTCTTGTCTCGAAGACTGACGAAACGGCTAACCAAAAATACTGATGCCATAGTTCATGACGAACATGCTGACGGACAGTTCCACTGTGCACCTGTACACGAAGGGTCGAAGAAACAGAGCAATGTTGACAATTGTGTCAATCCTGACGCAGTGGTCTCAAGTGGAAAAAAAGTGTTGGTGCAGTCGAGTGAAAGTACGAGAACGTTTCATAAACCCAGAATACTTAGACGTTAACACTGCAGGGATCCATCGTATTCGGATCTCAATTACATTTCCAAGATAATTCGAGTTGCTATTCACAACCCGATGTTAGATCGGACACGGAGTCCAATGGAGGATCTCATCTCCGTACACCACATCCTGCGACACAAAGTTTAGGACGTGTTCTTCTTATACTGCACGCAGTAAGATAGTTTTCCCAAACTAGAGGTCCGAAGCTGGGCCAACCTGACTGTTACTTGGGCACATGCTAACTAGAAATAGTGGAAAATGGCTCACAGACAAAAGAGAAGAGACGAAATGAAGCATTTTGATCGAATGCTACGGCTATCGATACTTTTTTTCATGAACGATAATCTGCTCTTTGTATTATCAAGTACATGAGGGTACCTCGAAGAGTTTCTCCACTGGAGACTCGACGTGGGACCGGAGCCTCCTATCCCTATATTCAATTGCGGTATTGGACTTAAGCTAAAGAAGAATGAACGGACCAGAATGAAGGGATATGTCATTCTCCAGATAAGGGTCTAGAGGGAGTGACCCAAAGAATCCTCGAATAAATCTGTCCTCAATCAAAACGTCCTACAATTCATACTTCTCGTTGTCTGGTTGATCCTCAATGTATGAATCAGTTAGCTGTTCTCCAGCAGCTTCGTTAATCCTATCACTGATCATTTTCAACACCGGCTTTCTCTGCAGACTATCTTCCTTGTTGTTGCGCAGAAACTCGTTCGCTTCCTCCGAAATCTCCAGCACAAGACCAAACGGATTGGGTGCTCTCAGCAGCAGATACTCGACATCCACTAAAACCTGATGACCCTCCTCTTTGTGCACCCTGATGTGAGGCTCCAAAAACGGCAATGTGGTATCTGTCTCGGCCTGCATCGTATCCTTCCGATTCATACCTCTACGCCTTCTACCGCTTCCGATTCCACCGCTCTTCCTCCCTGTCGCCTTGACCTCCACTCCAGTTGACCTGCTGACCTCTACTCTTCCTGCTATCCTACCGGAGGACAATTTGATCCCGTCGTAATGTACACACCTAAAATCCGAATGCGAGCTAAATCCGATCACAGGCTTGGTGACGAAAAGAGTTTCCATTTCTCGCGAAGAGCAAATCAAATCGAGGTCGCTTCAGCCAACAATGTCGATTCCGAGTCCACTCTGTACCAGCTCCCGAAGAGCCAAAAACCCTAGCCCTAGCAGGTTTCCTCCATTCCCGACTCTTGTCAGAAATCGGTGCGGTTCCGACTCCACGCGCGACAATTCCCTCGGACTGAAGTAGAATGCAGTCCGATTTCAAGAAGGCCAATCCTCCGGCCGAATCAAAATTGCGCACCCGCGAAGCCGTGCTTCGAGATTATTTCAAACTAGCCATACCCGAAGCCTTCCCCCGGCACTCAACGAGCTCGAGGCTTCGAAGGTTTTGGGTTCAAGGCTCGCGGAGGGAGTCAGTGGGTCCCCTGCGTGCGGATGACTCAAAGCCAGATGAACTCCTTCACCTTTCTTCGGGCCCCCTTCCAATCTTCTTCACTCCATGGCTATCATCTATCTCTTCGGGAGCTGGGGGAACTCGGGCCCCCCTCCTCTGTCATAATCTGCTGCTTGCATGCTGTCGCCTCCGTATCTCTGTGGATAAAGGTGGATTGACTTTTTGTAAAATCTCATTGACCATGTCCATTGGCGCTTTGACCATCAGAGGGAGAGGGAGCGACTGCGTTGCTGGTTATGGCCATCGACTGGCTTAGCTTACGCTCTTCAGCTCGACGGTCGGTTTCTTTAGCCAAGTGTTTGGAAACGAGCCTTCTACTTCGTGAGATTAAATCCAAGCAGACGAGTGCAAGGAATGTCGAATCTAGACTTTTGGATTGAGTTCGTTCGGCCCTTTATATCGGTTTCCTTCGTCTTCGTGCCCAATTATTTCGATCGGGTTAATATAAGAGCATGGGTTTAGGGGTTTAGACGGATCGAGCGATGTGATGAGACATTGAATGGCTTCGATAAGGGAACCAAGTAATATTGCAAACACGATGAACCCTAGTATGAAGTATCAGGTACAACCTGGATGAATCTAGAAATGTAAGATGTGGTTTATTTCCATGAAAAAATTAAACATGGTATCTTCCTTGATCCTAACAATCTTGATGAATTATATAATAAAATATGAGCATATGAAAAAATATTATCGAATTTGATTGTCATCATAAAGATTGCGATATCTACTCCTCTCTCTAGAGTAACTGTACAAATATACAAAATTAGTTGGACAATGACTTGAAGAGAGTCATCTTAGTGCTCTGTAGTGAGCAGCTCATAAAATCTATTTGAAATAAGATATATAATATCTTTTAATTGATTTACCTATGTATGTTAGTATCATACTCGCTGCCTCCAACTTGTGGAATTCAAAGATTAAATCCCTTGAAATTGGAGCGCATACAAGATGATAGCCAATGAAGCTTGAAACCCACTGTCAAGTGTAATACTCCGGAGTGAAGTTTAAGACTTCGTTCTCCAAATAATGGTTTCTCTTAATGTATAGATCTTTCCTCATCTGTGCTGACCACAAGTCATCAACCATACCTCACTCCATGTAAATTATCCATCTTCTCTATCTTAACAAACGACATATTTCAAATGATTTCATGGATAGCTGAATTATATGTTCCAAACTAGCAACGACTTCACATAGATCCGTATTGCATCTAAGTTATTAGATCATTCAAATACGATTAATGAAAATGCATATCGATAGATCAAGTTGTATCAAGTAGATCAAATTTTCCCACGTTGTAAGATTCTTAACCGTGAGAGTATTGAAATTGTCATGCATGAGCGTATCAAGATACACTGAACATGCATAAAATTAATGATAAACTTTAAAGTTGGCTAGTAATTCAGGTAATGACGTGATCTATAAAAAGAGAATGACGAGCATGGTAAACATGTTGCTCTATCACGGTAAATTGTATGTTTGGTGAGAAAATGGTTACATGTAAACTCATTTTGTATTACAAGAATGAAATCGTTTGTAGTCTCGCTATCTAGTTCTATAAGCAAATGATCTTCACCCTCTTATACATGTCAAGAATGAATTTATTTGATCATTTTAGATTCCAAAAATGTCAAGAATGTCAAACTAGTCAAATTGCTGAATGTGTTTCATCCATTTCAAACACTCCTTACAAAATTGGAGAACTATCTCCGATGAAGATTCCGTAGTCAAATGTTCAAGACATCTAAGATCATCTTATTCAAGGTTGTCAAGCAAAATATGAATGCTTGCGAATGAGGAACTATTTAATGCAACATACATAGGTATATAAACAACTAGAAGGAGAATATAGCAATCACTATTGTGGTGTCACACATCTAATAGCATCTGAAATTTGACAAGTGGATATCAGCGGCAAGACTTAATTTCTTAGTCACGAGGCTTTATTCGAATGTAGAACCAACTGATTTACTCGAGAAGAATGGCAGTAGACTGATTATCTCATTGTGACGTTCTTCGACATAAAAGTGATATTTAGAGATGTCACACCTCGGTTCTCAGATCACTAATCTAATAATGAGGAGGGATGTTAAGGTCTAATGTTTGATGTGTTGTCAGTGTCACTAAACTTCACACTTTTGGTAGTCAGTTGTTGGAAACTAGATTTATTATCACGTTATTGTTTGGCAAAAAAATTTGAGATAACAGGGATGTTGGATCGAACTGGCCCCTAGTGAGTGGCTCTTCTCAAGTTTTTCACATCTCAAGTTATGCAAAACCTTCAACTGAGATTGATGATGACTATATTCAGTAGATGATGACTATACTTGTATTTTCTCATCTTCTTGTTTCCCGACTAGATATCAATATAACCGAGTAAGCGAAACGAATATGTTTGGAAAAAAGCTTATTATATTTATTGACTTTGAGAATTTAACCTTAAACTTAAAAAAAAAATAACAGCTTTAAAGTTTATACAATAGTGTCAAATCTAAATTCCAATCGTACCGAATTGAAACACAATCATGTTAATCTGTTCAACTTTGGGCAAATTGTTATGTCACAATGTCCAAAAAAAGCTACTCATATACTCTGCTGAAGTATTGTACTCTGCCCGAACCCTCAAGTAACCCGTCTTTTGCAAAGACGGGTTACTTGAACTCTTTTGCAAAGAGCACAATAACCTCACACTTAAATATGTACTCGTTGAAGAACGCATCCCGGGTAAATACGCAAAATTTTACTCATGCGTATCAAGATTTATTTAGCTCAAAATGCAAGTTTGGAAGATTCTTGTGTTTGGAAACCAATTTTTGTTTGATTTTTACTCATCTGCCATTATGAGATGTATTTTGATAGTAGTATAAAACAACTAGCCAATATGAATCATTTTGTATGCGTTTCAAATAATATTGAGCAATAAACACTCAGTGCTCGTCTAAAGCTTTCAGTAATACGATATAGTATCTGTTGATTTCAGCTCCCTCTTTGATAAGCAGCACCTTTTGCAACCCTCATCGCTTTGTGATTGATTTAGCCAAATTTGATAAACTTAATGCAATACTTTTTGCTTTAGCAATTGCGGAATAGGGATATTGGCCCTAACCATGTCAAAACATTTCTTCAAACTCAATTAAACAACGAACTAGATTGAAAAATATTCTCTTATTTAGTTAGATCTTTTTAAGATTTGCTACCGTTCGTCTCACACATTTTTTTCAGCTGCTTCACTAACTTTGTATTTGCAAATTTAAGACCTTTTACTTATGGTGTTATTCAACAGTTATCACATCTAAAGATCAGTCGGTAGTTTGGTTTTGTTTTCTTTACAATTGATTCGTTTAATTAACAATTGTCCAAATAAATCTGAAAACGTGCCTAGGTAAATTCTGTATAAATTTTAGCTGAGAAAAAAAACTAAGAGTTATATATGAATCTTGCATAAGTTTACTCATTATAGTCGGTAAGTTTATGTTATGCCTCGTTTGAAGAGATTAGAACCTGGATGATTATTCGCTCACCGGAAATATATACAAAATGAAATTTAATTGAGTTTAGGGTTCTGATGCGCCAAGTACACACCTCCTGGAATAAATACACACAATACTCCGAGTATCAAGTTGAGTACGTGGGAGATTATTGCACTTCGAGTAATTGGAGTATTTCTACATGATTTGTAGGTATGAGCTACTTTGATAGTCTAGAATACACAATTAAAACTCCCAATAGTGAAGTACATTGATGCTAGGATTGGAAGATGTCACTCATACTAGGTTGGATAGCATTTAGCAGATCACATAGAAGTATCAATATTTCACGTTTAGTGTATCCGTTGCATAATTAGCGGATCATTTGACTGATAGTATCATTTTTGACAATTGTCAAAACATGTGAGCGTAAGAAGTTAGTAAGGGTAACCTCAAATCCAAGGTAAAACAGAGTTAAAAGGTTAGCAAGCGGAGCTGAGATCTCCAAGATAAATCAGAGTTATAAATGATGAAATGTGAGCAAGCAAAGCTCAGGAATTCTGAAATGATTTGTGTCTTTTTTCATCTGTAAACAAAAAAAAACGAAAGTAACTTAAAACAAATAAGAATGGAACGGGTTGTATGATGGGATTATGTGGACAAATAAACTTTAATAAATTGAGGTTAAAGAACCACAATTTTTATTTTTTCTTGCGTTCCTCCGAGTGCAGGATGTTGGGGAGCGCAAATTTGACGGACTTGCAAATGCAAGGAAGTCCTGGTGCAATGAGGGGGAGTCAAGGCAAGGTATGTGGTGTGGTTTCACTATGTTAGCGGCGAGCAGGAGTTGAAGTCAAATGTTGGGAGTCCGGATGGAGTAAAAGCACTAAAGAATCCAATTCAAATTTTCTTAAAAAAATCACTATAAGAATCTCACTATTGGATAGTATCATGTCACTATTGCCAATAATGAAAGTAACGTTATTATTAGATAGATTTACAAGTTAAAATTTAATGGTTTTTGAGTTTTATGTCACTAATAGGAGTATGTCACATGTATGAGTTGACACTATTGGGAGGTTTAGGTCAATGGAATATCAAGTGACAAGGGCATGTCAAGTGTACTCGATACCACCCATGTTTGGCTAATAACGTGGAGCTGTGGAGTGGATAGGATACAGAGACTAAACCCAGTTTTACCTGAGCAGTGAGACCTGATCAAAAAGGCATTGGGCAGGTTTGCATAGTACGCTAACACTATGAAGACTTTGGGACTTGAGCAGTGTAAGTGGGAACATATTTTTCTGGCGATAATGTTCTGAAAAGGAAAGCGTTCCCTGAGGAAGGTACTGAATTGCTTGACTCCCTTGGCCAATAGGTTGATTAATTGGAAATTGATTTGTCCCAAAGTTTGAGCTAACGAACTTAAGAAAGACCAGCTCAGAGAATACTGTCAAGTGCATCTTACTCGCAATTCCGTTATTCAGATGGTACGTTATTAGATACTGAAAATCATCAGAGCCTTGTTTCTGCGAACACTGATATCTTTGAATCCCCACACAGATGCCACAGCTTCAGCATTGCCAGTGATCTGCATTAAAGGGTGGGGCCGACGTGCTTAATGGATGGTGCGTGAATAGAGGAAGAAAATATTATGATGGAAGTGTGCTTGAGCTTAATGGATGGTGCGTGACTAGAGGAAGAAAACATTATGATGGAAGTGTGCTTAAGCCATTCACGTGCCTCTGATACTGCCTCGTTGATTCCGATCCTGCGATATGGAAGGGAAGACTGGGCTCAGATCTTATCTTCATAAGCTCTTGAGAGCGCAATGTGTACAAAGATGGATCCAGCAGCTCTGAAACAACAGTAGAACGAACACGTTCAGCACGGTATCGATCTCATCGCAATCGTATCCAAACAGCGTATGAATGAAAGATCACTGATTGATAAATGAAGACAATCAGACAGATAGGATCTGGGTCCAATGTACCCTCTTCTCGCCCGACACCATGGAGATTGTCAACAATACAATTCACCTCTCTGTTTGACTGAATCTGTAATACAGCCTTAAAAAATAAGCAGTGTACATGGAACACAAGAAATGTGGACCTGAGTGCACGGACATGTCCATCGCTCTGAATAAATTTACAATGCAGCTGAGCTCTAAACTCTTGGCTTGCTTCTGGAGATCATATCTTTAATTTCATCCAGGACCTGCCATGCTTGGTGACCACCTATGACCTCTGCTAGTCGAATGCCGTCCTTCCACAGCTGGATCGTGGGCATTTTGGTCACCTCCGCCCGCTTGACTAGAGACTGAGGGACGCTGTTCACATCGATGTAATAAAACTTAATTTCCTTGTGATAATCGGCAGCTAATTTCTCCAACTTGGGCTTCAAATATATACACTTCCTGCACCACGCAGCCATCCATTCGATCACTATAGACTGATTGCGCTCCTGCGCCTCACTGAGAATCTGATCGAATTGCTCTTCGCTCTCGATCAGCTCCAACGCGACCCAAGTCGGCTTGGGCTCCGCTTTCTGGCCCCACATTGCCTGCGGCGACACTGGCACTCCCTCGCTCCCTGCTCCTCCTCTACCTTTCCTCAGGAACTCAGTCCTCAAAATCCTCAACCTCCTCCCGCACAGAAAGCTCGTCCTCCTCCGTACTCCGAATCCCGCCACCACTCCCGGACTCGGCTCATATACTATGCCCCGCAATTGCGTCCGGCTGATGCAACACAGGCTTCCGTCTGCAGCCACAGCTGCCATTTCTACTTCTTCTGCTGCTGCTGCTACTCCTCCTGCTCCTCCTACTCCTCCCGCAGCAGCTGCAGGATACAACCAAACATTCCTCCGCTACAGAAGGAGGTCACCATCACAGTCAAACCTGAATCCTCCCACAACACGTCTCCGATTTTCCCCAGCATTCGACAAATCCCGCGGCCGAGTGACTCACTGTCATCGCCACCTTGGAGGCCGAGAGCCCCACGACGACGTCGAGGGAGAACGAGAGACGGAGCAGACAAAGAGTAGCCACACAGCATTCGTACCCCCCACCTTATCTTGTAGAATATGCCTGGATAGCCAGCCCCGGACAACAACATTTCCTAGACCCCTTTGCATTCCCGCGTGAAGGTGGACGACTTTCGGGATTCGATCTGATGGACTCTCGGGCAGATGCTCGAATCTCTTCCTCCGCTGCCCGGAGGCCAGCTAGGCTCGTGGCTCCCCGAGGGCACACGGTTTCCAGGCTCGGTGATGGCATGACGTGGCGGGTGGAGATGCCAGGGTCCGCCAGCTGGACATCGACGAAGGCTAGCCTGTGAGGCGGGCGAATCATGTCGACGTGGCCCACGGGTCCGGGGATGGGAGCAAGATGTGGCCGAGTCAGCAGCCAATTGTCACGCTCGTGTGGGCCGAGAAGGGCAGGATTTTTATGCCGAGCCGGAGTATCCGAGGCTGCACACTAGGATCGTTGGGAGGTCTCGAACTGAGACTCGCTCTTACAAATGTAAGACTGTCAGTGACGACGGAGGAAGGACTTATCAAAATGGGGGAACAAGATCCTTTCTGTAAGAAATATCTTCAGCACAGGACGACGTCGGTGGAGGCCCAGCAGCGGTTGGGCCCTCAGGTGAAAGACGTTGAAATGATGCATCTATCTGATTGAACAAGTAGGGACATATCTTACAATCAGAAGAAATCTGTAGGGTCACATTTTGAGGTAAGAGAATGTTTGGTGTAGGAAAAAGTGGATTGCTTGCTTGCTTCACGTTCAAATGTCCCTCATGATGTGGCAGTGTTGCGTTGCCTTCTTTCTACTATTTTCGAAGCATTGACTTATCGTAAATCATTTGATCCTCTAATCTGAAAGATGACACACAATTTAACGATGCTTCATCTTCAAGCATTTCCAGCATGTAAAGTCGCCGACGACCTTCTAATACTGGATGAAGTTCACGTGCTATACTTGTTTGCATCTGAATAGACCGCTTGCGAACATAACATACTCGTATCTTCTAGGGAATCAAATTTGAACTTCTCGTATAAATACTTTGACTGAATTTGCTTGCTTCCACAGCATGGCAATGCACGGGTAGGAAGCGACGAATCCTTCAGTACAATTCTCCTCACAGAATTGGAGTTTCCACTGGCGGGGTCCTTTTAGACTTTGCATTTGTCCCATTAAAAACAACGGATAGAGAATCAATGAATGCTCTCATTGCTGGATAGACCCTGGTGAAATTCTACAGGCTTGCAAGTTCTACAGGTATTATATCTGTAGACTGTAGAACGAGAAGCGAATAATCCTTTCGTCGATATATCGACTTCTAATCTGCTTCAGTATGTTGATAGACATTGACGTCGGAATTGATGTCCGCTCGTAAGTTCCCCGAAGCTGAGGCTCAACAAGGTCCTAATTTTCAATAGGTCACATTTATTCCTGACTAACGAGGCATAGGCTATCCTCACAAATATGGACCAGAACAAAGTGCACACAAATCATGTATATATATAGTCCATGCAGAGGATCCTACAGGATGCCAATCATTTTCTCCTTGACACAGTTACGGCTCGTAGCTTCAGACTTGCCAAAACTTTGCAGTCACATTGAAAAAACTAACACAAGCATTTAGAAAGTATGAACTTCCTCAAGAGGAGCATGGATTGTAGAGTTCGGTGCATCGGCACTTTTTCATATTTCTCTTGAAAATCTGCAGTTGCTTGTAGGCTATGATCAGACGATGTGATCTCTCTTAGTTTGTATTGGATGACTCCTTCGGTGATCATTTTAGAAAATTTGGACTCCAGACTCTACGGTTTACCTTTCGAGTCTTCTTGCATTCCCTTATGCCGAGCTCCTAAAATAGTGAACACAGTTGGATCCTGACAAACCACATGATATTTCGGATCCCATTTTTTGTTTAGCCTTGCCCTTCAACACCATTTTTTTGAATGTTGGCCGCTGGCTAATCTTCAAACCTTCAGTCGTGAACTATTGAAGTGCAACTGCTAACATTGCAACACTCTTGCAGTGAAACTGATTGCAGCTAGTCATCACTCACTGGTCTTGAAATAGCAGTGGAAGATGCGTTAAAAGTATGTATGAGCCGTCTTGGCGTGAGCAACAATTGGTCTGGTATACAGTATACCAATTAAATAAGATTGGTAGAGTAGAGAAAGAATTACCTAATCAATTTCATCTTGACAAGCTGATACTAGCAATTCTTTGTCTACATCACCAACCTTATTCTTCAGGGTCTCCACATATCGTTATCAAAGATGACGAATATTGGAAATGAATTTTTATAAGGCTTTCTTTATTATCTCGTCCTGCCAAATCAAAATTTAGGTTTCTGTCGAAATCTACTCAACTTGGAAGAAGTTGAGTAGATTCAGTCCGTCAGAGATAAGAAGACGAACATCACTCTTTAACAACTTGTGGCAATAATTTCATCAATTTGCAAAGAATTGAGCAAAAATTCATCGACATACAAAATTTCATCTATTTATTGATCTCATGCATCTCACACTAACTATTGCAGTTCAACAAGAGTATAATTTGACCATAGTTGTTAGATGTAATGACTCTATGTTGAGAGGTGCTCAAGTAGATGGAGAAGCAGATGTCAATGTGATGACCATTTTGGCAATGATGTCTGAAAAAATCCTCCAGATCGCTCACGTCCATGCCCCAAATGGTGTTGTGAAGACTTCCTTCCTCACGAGTCAAGTCTCAGAGGTATATATGTTTCTTCTACTTCATGCAACACAGAACTTTCCATGCAGAGAATCCCCTAAAGAATGTCCGAAGTCTAAGGGAAGGTGCAAATTTTTTCTGATCATGGTAAGAAATTACATACCCATCTTGAACCGCGAATGTCGCGAACTGGAAGAATATCGCGAACTGGAAGAATTAGGCTATTAAATAGAAAAGTCAAGGTTGAATCAGCCAAGATCATTGGTCGAACCCGCGAGAGTAGACAAGGAGACATAGAGAATGAAGTTGATGGACATCTTTAGGATAGTGTGGCACTCAACAATCATACAAAATAATTCCTGAACAGATGAAGAAGTAAGAAATAGGGAATCCTTTCTGAAGAAAGGGGATGCACCAGATGGACGAAAGAGGGAAGAAACTTCCACCCTAGAAATGAAGTCTCTCGACCTCAGCAGAGCGCTGAAGAAGGGTATAAATTAACATTTTAGTTTTAACAACTTCTTTCTGAACCTGCATGAAAGCTCCTTTGGACAGCAGAAGGCGTTAATAATAAACCTTATCTGCAATCGACTTAAGCTTGCTCCTCCATAATCCAATTAAACTGCATGGCCGTTCTTTTCTTCAGACTCGTTCAAGACTGTATGTCTATTTAACAAATACAAAGAATTTGTTTCACATAATTTTGCTAAGCTGCAGGTCACAATGGAACGTTGATGTGATGGCGCACCTTTTAACTTCAATCATAGCCCGGCAGCTCGTGTTGAGTAATTGTACTCGATCTTGTTACATAGTTACTTACATCATATATATATACACGACTTGACGCAACTATACAACCTTCATTCCTTGTATAGCCTTCGGATTCCTACTCAATATCACCCCGATCTAAGATTGCAAATTCTTTCTTGGCAATAGCTGTTAACATTTCTCTTCCCGACTCTTTTTCACTTCCCTGTCCGTTGTACATCTTTTGCTTCGTCATTATTCACGTGAAACCTACAAGAGGACTGTTCTTTCTGTTCATTCAATGCGGGTGAACAGAGTGAACTGCATTCGATTGTCTTGCCTCAAGATTCATTAGGTTGGTGACAGCCTTGCACTTCACATGTGCAATACTTTGGAACACACAATTGAACATAGCAAGTATGTTCTATCCTGATTGTATTCCACAGCTTTGAAGTCAAGTATGGAGCACATGAACTATATATATATATGTATTTATTTATATTTATATATATATTTATATATATCCAAGAGACATTATCTAACAATATGAAGGTCGGGTCGTTTTGGATCCCTTGTGATAAATGTGCCTTACCAACTAATGTTAACAGGATCATCACTGGTGCCCCCACTCTGCTATCCTGTCCTCTGAAACTATACAAATTTTTCACATTTTAAATTAGAGTTATGAGTACCTATCTCTAGTTAACTGCCACTTCGAAGGACTCCATATCACATTCTCTTGCCAATCGAATCACCAGCCTTTAAACTTCGTCCTGGCTTCTAAAACCTAAGTAGCAGGTGAACCGAAAGTCTAGAACATTGCTTACGAATGTCAAATGTTTGGAAGCCTCTTTAGACGACGCAAAAGTGAGCACTTGATGTTGAGAGATAGAGAGAAGAAAAAGAAGAAGATACGGATATATACCTTGTTTGGTCGTTGTTCATGCCGGTGACAGACAAACACAAGGTATGCTCTTGATGGTTCTGTTTAGTGTATCAATGTTTCAGCGCCTGACGAATACCCAGAAAATGTGACGCCGCAGAAGAATAAAACCTTCAGCTCTAGAAGCAAGCAAACAAACAAACAAACGTGCGAGACTATTGGACAAATGGCTCCTTATCGAGGAAGAGTATCGCACAGAACAGACAAAACCAGACCCACAAACATCACCCAGCAGACTTACAATTGGCCGCAGAGAAGGTATTTACAAGCTATTTCTGTAATCTATGCTTTGATCGTTAGCGGTTGCAACGCCATCTTTTCATGCAAACTCGGAGGCAAACGAGTCGCGATCCTTGACGCTGCAAGTGCTATCGATCAAAGCCAGGATTGCAGAGATACTCACAGCAAACTTTCAATCTTCCAGAGAGAAGATGCAACAAAGAGCTTGCCCATGGAGGCAGAAAAGAAGGACGTCACTGCAAGCGCCGAGGAATAGATCCTGAATCAAAGGGCCTAGAGCTTTATGACAAAAGGCCAAAACCATCACACGGAGAACTCATTAATGCCTAGACCCGCCTTAATGCATTTGGCCAAAACCAGAGTAAAGTACTAGACTTCCTTGTGAGGAAGCTCCATCTTT